TTGAAGATGCGGCGAGCTTCCGCCTCTGCTTCGGCTTCACGCTTGAAGATGCGTCGCGCCTCAGCTTCGGCCTCGGGCTCACGCTTGAAGATGCGTCGCGCCTCTGCTTCGGCCTCGGGCTCACGCTTGAAGATGCGACGAGCCTCCGCCTCGGCCTCGGGCTCGCGCTTGAAGATGCGGCGAGCTTCCGCCTCTGCTTCGGCTTCACGCTTGAAGATGCGTCGCGCCTCAGCTTCGGCCTCGGGCTCACGCTTGAAGATGCGTCGCGCCTCTGCTTCGGCCTCGGGCTCACGCTTGAAGATGCGACGAGCCTCCGCCTCGGCCTCGGGCTCGCGCTTGAAGATGCGGCGAGCTTCCGGCTGCGTGCGAATGAATTAGCCTTGTGCCGTGCTTGTTTGTATATGAGACATACCTCTGCAATGGGTGCAGCAGCAACAGTAGACACGATAGCCAGGAGGGCGGCAACAGTAGCGAACTTCATGTTTGCGAGGGCTGAGTGAAGCTGAGTTGAGGGCGAGAACTTATTCGAATTGTTCTTGGTTGTCCGGGGTGAGCTGAAGAGCAAACAGAGCTGCTCTTTATAGACCCGCAACTTGGGGTTCGACGGAGTATCGATGACCACATGGCGGCATACAGTGACGACAACGAGGCGAATGAGATCACTTCAAGCTCCAGAGAAACTCTGACGCAAGAACAGGTCGCAATTTGTCAGGTGCTAGATGACATGGCTAATCTTCCGTGAGCTTGAGACCCTTGCACAGGTGAAGCAGAACGTTGTCTCGTTGTAAATAGCTGCTGTTGTTCCGTGTAGATGATCAAGGGACGATGACGCGCCTTGAAAGATCTTCATTGCGCAGGCTTGTTTTCCTACTTGCTGACCAGCGCATAGGCTCTAAGCTCTTCAAGGGTCCCTTCCTGCGTCAGCGGACTAGTGTCGCAATCTGCTGATGCGATCGCTATGTCAGAGCGGCGCCCTCCTGCGCCTTTCTGGCGGGGTCGCGAAACATTGCTATCGCGAAGCTACATGTCTCTCATCGCGCGCGAAGATCAGTCAGGTTCTGCGAATCTTCGACAGATGGCGGGCAGGCACAGCGATCCCCACACCGGCTCCGTCTGCCGTGAATTTCCCGATTGCTCCACACCAGCCGGAGATCGATCGGCGGAAATAAGTGGCGTCGCATTCTCGCGAAAGCCGGCCCGGCCCGAATGAGCTGAGCGCTGAACTCAGTAGGGCCTTAGAGCCTTGCTGGCCGACTCTGATAGACACACGGGTCTGACCGGGACAACGGTGTAAGCCTCGGCTGCATCTGCCCTGGCAATGCAGCCTACTTTGCGTCATCTGAAGGCGTGTGCATGCGTACAACAATCCCGACCAGTTGAATTCACTGCTTATGGCCTGCAAAGAGTGTTCAGGAGCAGTTGAGTCCGTGCATGAAGATATGGAGCTACGTGGTGATCCATCCAGAAATGACTTGTGTGATGTTTGTCGCCGTCGGAATGCTCGTTCGATCGCGAAAGAGTGATATCGTAATTAGCGAATACGCTGAAGCCGTTCTCCTCTGCTGCACTGACAGCCAGCTGGTTGAGTGTCCTGATCATTCGGTTAGAGCTGCCGAAGAGAGACGTCGTCGTCATGTAGACTGCCTTTGAGACGTACGGCAGCATCAACTTCATACTGCTGCTCATCTTCTCCTTGTACTCCGAGACTTGCAGACCGCTTCCATCTTCTTTTGCTATTGAGACCATATCGTGCAGTGCATTATTGTAGATGAGGATCGTGTCCGAATGGGCAGGAACCGGCGGTAGGGGCAGATCCTCGTCCAAGAATCTGACCAATTGGTCCTCTTCGCTGAGCATCGTCTTCGGGTCTGCCAAAGCGCCGATGATGCGATTCCGTCCATAGGGCGACTCAAAAGATTGAGTTCCCATGCCGCTCGAGCAGAGTTCGGCTCCTCCCGCCCAAGTAAAAGCGATACTCGCATTGGCAGCAGAGATAGGCCAGAGCATATGTCTTTGTGGCTCCCTGCGCAGCAATGTCAGCATAGGACACCGTGCTAGGAGGAAGCGACCGACCATGGCTGGTTGCAATCCCCCCGATAGACGCCTAGATGAGACTTATAGTCGTCTGGCAGAAAGTCAGAAGCGGGATCATCGGCATTAGGTTCCGACAGAAAGAGGCCTAGACTGTTTGCAATTTCTTCCATGGTCGAGTCGCCGATGAGGTGTATCCTCTTGTTCGCCAGGCAAGTGCTTGTCTTCTTTTGCGAAAAGTACGGCATCAGGCAATCGCTTTTAGCCACGTAAAGATAATCTGCGCCTTTGAGCTCGGTAGCCGGTAGAAATTCGTCTCGGAAAGACTGCGGCACGCTGCTATCATTGTGCAGGCGGAGCCATCGACCAGCTGTGCCTAAGCCGAGCTGAGACGGCGCGCAAGCCGGTAGGCTAGTGACAGCCTCGTGATGGAAGGGCGCGTCTGGCTCAATTGTCCTGAATCTCGCCGTGGCTTTGACAGTCACGGGCGAGTATTCTACTCGGTTCTCGGCAGTGTAGATGTTGTGCTCGCCGAAGGGATCAGTAGGGTACTTCTCGCCCTCTCCCTCTAGCAAGACTTTGACTTCGTACGTGCCTTCAGTAAGCAGATGGAAGGAGAACTCCCATAAGCCGTCCTGAACGAACGTGGGCTCCTCAAGCCTGAACCGCTCTCGCTCAGACACAAAGCTGAGAGCAAAGTAGAAGTACCGCGGGGGGATTGTGCCGTCGTACGAGGAGTTGCCTAAAGCGACGCCTTCGTGATCATGCTGCTGTATCCTGAGCCTGTACTCGCGGCCGGTCTCGAGCGCGCTGGCATTCATACTGGGCTCGAGCAGCAGCGAGACGAGCGCATCTTCTTCGTCGCATGTCGAGTGAGCAATGTCGCAAACGCATCGACGATCGACGAGCGATTGACCAGCTTGACACCATGGTACGGGCGCCTGATATGCTGTGCGGAGTGTGTCCAGTGAGCGGTGCAAATGGTCTCTGATAGGGCTCGGAAGCAGAGTCAAGCTGAGTATGAGTCCCATCAAGCACAGGCAGGCGGCGGTTGCTCGTGTGACTCGAGCATGTGTTGATTGCCTTTGATGCCAGGCTGTCGGGAGAGTAGAAGGCCCACGCTTGAGCAGAGCACTCTCCTCATCCATTGCTCCAGTAGGCCTGTACCGAAAGCCTGCCGTCTTGGATCTACATGAGTAGATGAAGCAACGAAGTCCATCTTGACGAATCCCCTGATTCTGGCTCGTTCGCAATTCATTCCGCGCAGACAGGCTGCATTTGGCACGATGCCGCTGAGTGGATGCATCAGATGAGAAATCAAAAATTCCTTCACGTGCCTCGGCCGCATCAAAAAGTTGGCAGTCACCGAAAAGACCACGACGTCTACCACTCGGTTGATCAGGGTAGCGCGCAGCATGGGCGACACAGCAATCACCAAGAAGGCGCGCACAGACGGTCCCAAGCTAATCTGTACCCATTCGGGCACTTTCCATGCGGACGAAGCGCTGGCAGTCCACCTTGTTCGCACATTGCCTGACTACAAAGACGCCCGTACGACCAGTATAGGTCTCCCTCTCGGAACAATTATTGATGTCTGTCACAGGCTTAGTACGAACGCGAGATCCTGCCATCATCGATATGGCAGATATCGTACTCGATGTGAGACGTGCCCCCTTGCAACTGTCCGCATATTCATCTGATCCATACAGGTTGGCGGGGTCTATTCTGTAGAGAGGCAGCGATTCGACCATCATCAGCGCGGCTTTGCGGCGACCTTCGACAGCAGTCATCGCACGAAGCTGTCCTCGGCTGGACTAGTGTACAAGTCGGTCTTTGCCTGATACATACATGCTCACGCGGGCTGACCGCATCATGATAGGCACTATGGCAAGCAAATTATTGCCCAGAGGCTAGGATTACAGGAGGCAGACAAAACTGTTAGTACGCTATACCCAAAGGTGTATGAGGACTTTGTTGAGGGCACGTCATTGCCCTGCGCTGTAGACTGATGCTGACATTGCATGCCAGGCCTCGATGGTATCGACAATGGCATCAATCAGTACGAAGCAGTGCTCGGAGGCGATGTGCGCTCGAATTACCGCAACTTTACCGGTCTCAGTTCACGAATCTCAAGGGTGCGTCACTTTCTTCTAGCTCGACAATGAGCTCAAGGAACGACACGCACAGCTCAATCCATCCTGGAACGAAACGAGCAACAACGATATACTGGACGTGAGTCTCCCCAGTCGACGTCACGCTTGGCGGCGTTGACGAGCTAGTGCAGGAGCGCTTCGAGACTGCTTCGGCATTGGCCGGCAGCGAGTTCTTCCAAGTGCTTGACGCAGCAGCGCATCAGTGGCTTCCCGGTCGTTCGCTCATCGTCGAAGCGCTGTTTGAGAGATGCAAGTTTGACGGCGCAGATCCACACGGGCGGATCATGCTCCTTGGGTCTTTCGCGCCGTGGAAGGCAAATCCCCTATGCCTCCCATTGAGCACGAAGCTGACGAGCGCGCCTCACAGGATCACCTCTTCAGACTCGAGCGGGAGCTCAGCATTGAAGATGACCGCAAGGTGCTCTATGTCATCTACCCTGACGAGGCTGGCAAATGGCGTGTTCAGGCAGTGCCCCGAAGTTCAGAAGGTTTCGAATCGCGCAAAGCTCTGCCGGCGGCATGGCGAGGGATCAGAGACAAAGAGCTCGACGCCCTCGTTGGCATCGAGGGATGTGTGTTCGTGCACGCTGCTGGCTTCATCGGCGGTCATGCCACGCGAGAGGGAGCACTCATCATGGCCAACAAAGCCATCGCCGCGTGATCTCTACTTGATATTGCACTAGATGTTGTTTCAAATTTTCGGCGCTGAGCCCCAAGCTCGCGGTCACCGTCTTTGTCCAATTTTGAGGCAGCCAGCCGCGATGTGTCTCGACAACGAGCGTGAGCATCTGTTGTCGGCGGCCTTCGCTGTCACCTTCGCGGTCTGAGGAGTCCTACAGCCTCAAAAAGGGCCAGCCACGTTCTCCGAGCTGCGCTGACAGATTGGGACGAGGATGGCAAGCAACGACACTTCTGCCGCTGCAGCGACTGCACCCATCGTCTCCTGCGACTCTGGCTCGCCTTATAATGGCTCACTCGGTCTACGAGTCGGTGCTCTCTTCATCATCTTGACCACTTCGCTCGTTGGCACGCTGTTCCCCGTGATTGCGAGGAGGATACCCTCACTCAAGGTACCGACGGCGGCTTTCGATTTCGTCAAATACTTTGGCTCTGGCGTCATCATCGCTACTGCTTTCATCCATCTGCTTGCGCCTGCCTTTGATGAACTGACTGCACCTTGCCTGACCGGAACTTGGACGGTCTATGACTGGGCACCTGCCATCGCGATGATGTCCGTCTTTATGATCTTCATCCTCGAGATCATCGCCTTCAGAATCGGCAGCGCCCGCCTACGCAAGCTCGGTCTTGACAACTACAACGCCCACGATCACGCGCTCGGGATCGGTCATCATCACGCTGCAGAACATAACGACCATCATACTGGCACCGGACTCATTGACTCTGCGAGTACGACGCTCAAGAATGACGAGGCATCTAAGATCATTGAAGAGCCCGGCAAGCTGGAAGATCCAGAGCAGGGACCGGTCCTGCTCGAAGATGATGAGGTCATCGATTCCCAGGCAATGGCTCAAATACTCGGTGTTGCCATCCTCGAGTTCGGTGTCATCTTTCACTCGCTCATCATCGGTCTCACACTCGCGGTGACGGACGACTTCAACACACTGTTTGTCGTCATCATCTTCCACCAGATGTTCGAAGGTCTCGGCCTCGGCTCGCGGCTAGCCTTCTTGCCGCTGCCAAAACGAATGCGCTACGTGCCTTTCATAGGCGCGATTGCCTATGCCGTCGTTACACCACTCGGCATGGCATTCGGCCTAGGTTTCAGGGAGACTTACAACCCAGATTCACCAACAGCAAACATTGTCTCTGGCATTCTTGATGCGCTGTCTGCCGGTATTTTGCTGTACACCGGTCTCGTCGAATTGCTAGCGCACGAGTTCATCTTCAATGACAAAATGCGAAACGCTCCGACTGGCAAGCTTGTCATCTCGCTCGGTACAGTCTGCCTAGGTGCCGCTATCATGGCTTTGCTAGGTCAGTTCGCCATGCTCTCTGCGGCTGGACATCACTGATTTAGGTCTGAGCACAGGTCGCTGGGCTTGAGTGTCACGCCCGCCAAGATGTACAGAAGAGGACGTTGCAATAGACTGTACTGCATGCATGTTATAGCCACTTGAATCACTTTTTTCAGCTTGATGCTGCAAGAGAACGAGAGCAACAGCCAATGCCGAGTGCGATTCCCAGAGGCACGTCATATCCACTTTGTCTCTGGATCCTTCTTAAAGGCTTCATAGTCTTCACGACCAAAGAAAGAAACCTCTGTCTCGTTCTCTGTCATATGTGGCCTGTCAGCAAAGCACATCCCAGGCAGAAAGGAGCGCGTGCCAAGTCCCATTGTCGCGAGGGTGGCACCGTCATCGTCGAGGATCCATTCGTCATTGTCCATGTTGATGATCAGATTGGTCGTCTGTCCTTCCTGTCAGTCAATCTTCTGGACTCCGCTCGCTAGGCTCACCTTTGCCCCATGAGCTTTCGTATAGAGCTTGAGCGTGTCGAGCTTCGCGTTTCTGTACGGCTTGAAGCCAGGCGCAGTCTGAATATCTGTCACCGGCCGCACTCAGCCTTGAGATATATGGCCAAGGGTGGAAAAGGCAAACCAAGAATGACTCTGGCCTTGAGCTGGCCGACAGTCGTGCTCGTCAGGTCGACATGATGCAAAATCAGATTTTTGGTCGAACGGTAAGCAAAAGACTTGATGACTCGTATTGTGAGCGTCGCATCCTGTACACTTGCCGCTGTGTTGGTCAGCCTGGCATCAAAGTCGGTGTAGACTCCGCTCGAGTCTGTCATGCATTGGCGCGCGAACGAGAAGAAAGCGCGTGTCTTCTATGCAATGTCAAATATCGACAACAACACTGGTTTCCTGCGAGCGTGGCGGTACAGTGACGAGGTACATGGCGAGGTGAGCATCGATGAGACTCCTCGCTTGGATCTTGTCGAGCGTCTCCGTGCTCAACGTCGCTCTCTGAATTGACTGTCAGCTCAGTGCGATGGAAGGGCTTGTGTCTAGACTGACGAGGGCAAATTTGAGGCTGTTCAGGACGACAGAGAAGTAAGCTTCAAACTCTGGATGGTCTCGCTTGATGTTCCTATCCGCCAGTGCGTTTACTATGAGCTTCTTCAGTGACTGCATCTCCCTCCGTCAGTATGATAAGAGATTGCCAACAATCGGCAGACATACCGCTCTATTACGTCCTTCCAGCGTCGTGACCTGCACAGAGGGCTCGCGAGAGTGACGATCAGGATGAACAGCAAGACTGTGCGAAGATTCCCTCTTGATCTTGTCAGGCGGAATGGTAGACTGCGACCTCGAAGGCGGCAAAATGCTGGGTGTCTGACTATGCGACCGTCTAATTTGTTGGGATGCAATATCGAGCGGTGAGAGCGCCCGCGAGATTGATCGAGACCGCTTCCGCTCGCGTGCCTCGAGCGTGGCAAACCCGGGTTTGATGTCATCATGCGGCTCAAGGCAAGACCGACTTCGTTTGCGATGCACCATGCCATTGCTCGCAACTCGATCAGTGGGCAAGGAACGGGAGACGGGCTTGCTGACAAAAGCGGCCAGGGACGGCTGTATGAGCGTCTTTGCACCCTTTGTGTTGTTGAGCCGCGCTTTGATCGGCATAACGTTGGGGTCGCGCATCGTTGGCAGCAGGGATCTCTGTGGACTGCCGGCCTTGCTCATGAAGATATCATCATCTGTAGGTATGCCCCTCTGTGCACTCTTGCCGTTGCTCTTCTGCGCGCTCTTTTGCACGTTCAGGCTCTCCGTGCCCGCTTGACGCAGCTTCATCGTCAAGGCAGATTCGCGCGGCAGGGGATCGTCAGGACGAGGCAGGCGCGCTTTCGCTTCAATCTCCCGGCCCAATTTGAGCTGCAGTTTGGGCTGCTGTGAAGCGAGCTCGTCAGCATCTATTGCCTGACCGTAGATGACAAATTTGCTCGACAAATCTGGCGTGAGGGCGTTGCCTAATAAAAGGACGATACCGCGCCGTGTCGTATGTTCACCCGCGATAAGCTCTTGCCGACAGAGCCTGTCCTCAAACCAAGCCACCGTATCCGGGCATCGTGGATCGATATACATGCCCATAGATTCTTGAGTGAGCGAGATGATGCGTGCCGACTGAGAATCCTCTTGTAACTGACGAGACTTGCCTTTGATCAGGGCGCTCAATTGCCGGCGCTTCGAGTCTTTGCGCTTGTTTCTCCCTGCTTCAGCTTGCCGGACTGCTTCCCTCTCTTCTGCAGTAGGCTCGCCCAACGCGACGACCTGATGCACTTGCAAGGTCGTGTGTCTTAGCATTTCCAGATCAAGCGATAGCTCAGAGAGAGGCACCGCTTTTGCCAGCCTTGGCGATGCGTTTGTCGGCACATACGATCGAGCGGTCTGGCTTGACGAGGCAAGAGGTGGGGAGACTTGTGGCGTGACAGAAATGCGATCGCATGGTCGTCTGAGCGTCGCGAGCGATGAGCGCGGTGTCGCAACGACTCTATTCGCCTCTGACCTATCCGCTACTGCTCCAGATTTGCTTGGCGAGCTTGTAGCATCACCATGCGCGATGATAGCGAGGCCTGTGAGCACGTCATCGATCCCAATGAGCTCTTGCGTCCTCCGTCGCGCGTCTGCTTACCGTGCAGCTTTTGGCCGTTCTCGGTGGCAATGCTGCCTCGCCAGATCAAGCGAGTGCCCGAGCGTCTTTTCTGAGCAGACAAAGGCCCAGCAGAGTCGGACATCCGTGCTACAGAGCCATCTCAAGACGTCGACAATGTCAAAACGGCGCGACCACAAAAGTCGCGTGCGTGCCAGAAGATGATTGACAGCAGTCACAGACACGTCATCGTTCACTCATGGAGGACAGACGGCCACACTCACAGCGCCGCCATGACGCTTCGACCAGCTCATTCACCCCTCAACTTCGTCAGCAGTCACATCGGCCGGCAAACGCATCGACCACGGCGGAAATGCCGACGGGCGTTAGCAAATTGAAATCTTCGCTGCGTTCAGTCAAGCGTCTCCTGAACAAGGCAAGTCATGCCGTGCAAAGTCGCTTATTGTCACTAAAGACAGCATGTATTGCAGGAAGACCTCGCGCCGAACGTGAAAGTGGAGAATGAGCGTCGATTGGTCGCGTTGGAGGCTCAGCTTGCCGAAGCTCAGAGAAACGAGACCGAACGCAACAATGCCAGCCGATATCACAAAGTCAAGTTCTTTGGCAAGCTCTCATGTGATCGATCACACTCTGTGCTAAACCACTTTGCGTTTGTCCAGAGCGGCAGAAGCTGACGCGACGAATCAAGCAAAGCCTTACAGCTGTCGAGCGAGCGACAGACGACGACGAGCGAGCGACGGCCCAGGCCTTACTTGACCAGTATCGTGTCGATCTCAACTACGTGCTGGTAAGCTTGTCCGCGAATGCAATCATAGTGCTAATATGAAAGCGCAGCACTTTCCAAAGGATCAGAAATACATCGGTCTCTTTCCCAACAATGTCTGGGTTCCGCACAGTGGAACGGACACGAGTGCTGACAGTACACCTGAGACGACGAAGCGGCGTGCATCGCTACGGGTGGAAATAAGCCAACTCATGGCCAAGGGCATCTATTCTGCCGAGCCTGAGAAAGACAAGTCTGCAGACAGAACCGAGTCGCTGCCGCGGAAACGCAAGGAGGTGCTCGCAGGAGCACCTTCAGATACGAAGAAGAGTAAAGACTCTAAGCCCAAGCGCCCTCCGATGCCGGACGACTTCTTCGAGTACTAAACATCGTATGCAATCTCGATTGTTGTTGCTAATAGTACTTTAGCATGTATGCTTTGGCTTCCTCTTTGCTCAGATCTGACAGCACTTGCATTTGAGCCTGTTTGACGAGCGTGTATGCTTTGACGAAGCTCGGTCCAATCGCAGCGCTGTCAATTCAGTCAGCATGAACGTGTACGATATGAAGTGCACGGCATACGCCAACACAGCATCTTCTGTCAACTTTTCGAGCGCTCCCCTGAAGCTTCTCGGCATTGGCCTCCTGATTCCAAGCGCCTTGAGCTCATCACGCGACATGAGGGACGGATCCTCTGCACATCAGCATGAGAGATGGAAGTCAGCTACTTCACCAGATTGGCTCACCCAAGCAATCAAATTGTCGCAACTCCTGTTCTGTGCGTCAGCGGAGTCTTAAACAGCTCAGGCAGCGCACAAGCTGCTTCTTGATGCCGAGCACTCCAGCGGCGATGATGGCCGATAGGGCGATGTACGGATTCGCAGTCGCGTCGAACGAGCGTAGCTCCCAGTGATATTTGCGAGGGTAATTGACATAGCACAGTCGCAGGGGTGTCTCCCTGTCGTCGCATGTTAGTAGTAGGACCGAAGGAAACGGAAGATGCCGACCTGTTGTCACTGCCCCATGCTGCCCAGCTTGCGCCCATTCTTGAGCCAGGCACAGCACGCTCAAATGACATCGGCGTAGCTTGCGTAAAGGCAGTAATGGCAGGTAGATGACGCAGGAGACCTGCAGCGAACATTGCATCTGCCATTGGTAGGTTTGGAAAGCGGGCGTCTGTCAATCTTCCCGTTACATTGGTCTTTGCGATCGTGATGCGCACATGCTGCCCGGTGCCATCTTTGGCATTATCAGCAAGACTTGGCAAGACATTGTCGCACTCACCATGTTCGCGGAAGACTTTCGGTGCAAAGGTAGACCGATAGCCATTGGCAGCTGCAATCAGCCTGATTGCGTCCTTTGCATGAAGAAGGCTGTCAACAGCAATCAGCGGCTCTTCTTCGCGTAATGATATCCTGAATTGTCCGGGCGCCGATAGTGTTTGATAATCGTCTACTTCGATGCCCGACTCGTGTAGCGCGTCTACGATATCATCGAGCAAGTTGACCAATCCAGGCGTCAAAGCCCGCGTTGCACCTTGCCCGCCGATAGTCGCAGATCGGTCAGTTTTTGCAGAGAGCAGCACAAAATCGATGTCAAAGCCGCACATGAACATATGGCCTTGCAGGGAAGCGTACTCGATGACTTCCGCGAGCAATGTCCGAGTGCAGAGTGAGTATGGGGGCGGTCGATCCGGTCCTTTTGGCTTCTCCTCCATGACACACATGACGGCAGCGTGATGTGCGTTGAGCCAAGGCAATGCGCGCAGACTGCTTGGATCTGGAATGAGGACGACTTCGCCAACCGGGCCAAATCCGGCCGACAGTCTATCATCTGGCGTGAGTCCCATTGTCGATTTAGGGATCGTGACATGAGCGTGCTTCGTCATGCCGTCCTTTCCCAACTGCTTTCTGTAACGCTTGTAGCTTACTATCTGCTCTCTGGCTTGGCCACACAGATCGCACCATCGCAAGTGAACATGGTGAATATCTGGCGGCTCGACTGCTTCCTTGCTTGGCTTCCGGTTGAGCTGCGGGATGGGTGAGACAAGAGATAGTGGCGTTTTGACGTCTGGAGGACTAGGCATTCGAGAGCTTCGCATGATCTTCTGTTCTTCTCGGTGGGACGATTCCGTCCCTAGAACTGACCCGCCGAGCGACTCCATACTCTGCGGACTCTCTATCCTAGCAAGGTAGCTGATGACACCTTCGTGTATGACAGGAAACTGCTGGAGCGAGATGCGATCCTCGTTGCCCGAGAAAAGGTCCGATTCGCGCAGCTGAATCCGTTTGCTCTGCTGAGATCTGACGGTCGATCGTTCTATGCCGCCCGATAGCCCTCGAAACGGCATGTACGGCAAGCTTGACTGCTCAGACGTGTGCGACATGACATACAAGTTGTAGCAAATGCATACACAGAGTGGCTTTGGGGGCGCTTGATCCGAGCTGGCTGGCGAATGTCGGTCCGTGCGTCGTCCTGATGCTCGATCACTGCGATGACGCTGGCCTTGAGTGAAGATGGCCACTGTATGCGACAGAGGCCATCACTTGATGTGGCTGCATCGTCATTGGGAGATCATGAGGCCTGGGCATATCAGCGCGGCGTGATCACTTTTGCGCACAGTCGAAGCGCGGTCTGTGCGTTATCATGCGCAAACAGAGCGTCACAATGTGATTACGCGTCAGCTCAACCGCGCAGAGTGGACGTCCAGGTGTCGTAGCTGGCAGTGAAGTGCGCGTGCAATATAAACAGTCTAGTCGACTTGCTTCTTCAATTGATCTATGCGCTCGGATGCCTCTGCATGAATCATTAGCTGTATTCTTTACGGGGTCTCATGCAAGACTGACGGCCTTTGTTGAGTCCTTGGCCGCCGCTGACTTGCTGACCTGACTTGCTCTCGAGAACTGCCAGGTATCGCTTTTGTTTCTCCGTGGGCTACACAGGGAAGATCAGCGTCTATGCTGCCAACGTGATGCCATCAATGCGACGCACGTCATCGTCTCCCGTTGACCAATGCTGAGGATTCTTCAGCAGCGATTCTGGATCGTTCGCGCCCGGTGGCTCAGGTTGCTGAGGCTGATCTTTTGGCGCGTTGGGATCTGTCGTCGTGGCTGCTGCTGACTTGAGCTCATCGATGACCGCTGATGCATCCTTTGTGCTCATCTCTTGAGTATCACCCACATCGACTGTAGATTCCCCGGACGCTGAGCTCGCTACAGATCTGAGGCGTCAGGCGTACCATCTGGCGCCTGTTTCGATAGCTGATCGATGAAGCCGCGCTGCTTGTCAGACTGGCATACTAGCAATGAGTCTGTGCTGCTGGGAATTGCCCAATAGCAAGACTGACGACAGGTCGCTCTCGCCACGACTCCTTTGGTGGCACGCCGCCCAATGCTGTTTGCGCTGGATCGCCGGGGATGCCTGCGCTGTCGTTGCTGGCCTGTCAGTCGAGCGGTCTACGATCAGCCAATCATGAAGCGACTGCATGAGACCGACTGACCATCTTGTAGGTAAGTCGGGGGGAGTGGCCGACCGCGATGCGCGATGTCAACGTTAAGTTGACTTGCCGATCATCGTCAATTGGAGACCATCGTCATCACTCCCTCCGACTGTCCAAGTGCCCCTCGTAGCATCAGAAGATGTTCACAGGTCTAGTCGAAGTGAGTCGTTGCTTCTCAGCGCAGATGAATCATCTCAATCGCTTGCCGACAGCATCTCGGTACGGTGACGTCGATCAAAGAGCAAGACACGACATCATCTGGCGGCGGCGGCTGGTCTGTCACTATTGGCCAAGCTAAACCCATCCTATCAGACTGCAGCATTGGGGACAGCATATGTATCAATGGCGCCTGTCTCACCGTCACCGAGTTTGACGAGGATAGCTTCAAGGTCGGCCTTGCGCCAGAGACTCTCGCGAGGACAGATCTAGGTGTGCCTCCATGCCCAGACCTTGCTTATCCAACCTGAAGAGCTTGCGTTCGTGCAGGCGATCTCAAAGTAGGCAGCAAGGTCAATCTGGAGCGCGCCATGGCCACTGGCGCACGTTACGGCGGCCATTTCGTACAGGCAAGTCCCGGCACATCATAGACGGAGCCGCACGCTCACTCTGGGACGATCAGGGACACGTTGACTCGACGGCGAGGATTGTTTCGCGGCAGCCAGACGGCAACTCGATACGGCTAATATTTGAGCTACCTGAATCAGCCGAGCATTACATGGAGGCCATCATCGAAAAGGGCTACATCGCCCTCGATGGGACGTCCCTCACGATCACCGAGGTAGACGACACGCAGCGGCGTTTCGGCGTCATGCTCATCGCTCACACGCAAGACAAAGTCGTGTTGACCGACAAGAAAGAGGGTGACAAGATCAATGTCGAGATTGACGTCGTCTGCAAGAACGTAGAGAAGATTGTCAAAAGCGCTCTGCAAGGATCGGGACAAGCAGGAGGTGCTATAGAAGCACTCGTCGAAAAGGTCGTTGAGCGTACGCTCCGAAAGCATCAGCTCATATAGTCCCCTCGGTAGACTTGTCGCAAGCAATGTTGTTGCAATCCGCATACCCCACAGACATCTTTACGGGAAGGTCGTGGTGTGAGCTTGTATGACCTCTCCCTCAATCTTGCAGACTTCCGTATCCTCCTCATCAAAGAATTCTCTGCAGGCCGTGGTGAAGGGGCCGCATGTGACTTGGACATCGAACTGTCGTTTTGCAATCTCGACTGCATTCTGCGTGTCAGCTCCGTCTGGCCCACGATCGCTGACGTGTACCTCGCGTAAAGCCGACGAACCTGAGATTGGAATCAGGCTTGGTGTGGTAGGGATGTAAGAAATGGACATACACGTGGTATCGGAGCTTGCTGTCCAGACGACAGCAGTCTTGCATATTTGCAGGATCGGACTTGAACTCGGCAGGAATCTCAAGGAGCACATCGTGCCCTACTACGTCGGCCGTGTGGAGTCCACCCACGACACGTCCAGTCACGCTCCGGTCAGGTGTCTATACGAACGATCAGCCAAAAGCTTCTGCCACAGGCAGCATGCATACGAAAATGACGTCGTTGGGAACTACGTCGAGAACCTTGCTGAAAAGATCCACACGAGGGTTGGGATCGTTTGGCGCCCGTATGGCGTCCACTGTGCCGTATACGCATTCGGCAGAGCCCGGTTGAACTGCAGTAGTCGAATCAAATTAGGAGGCCTCTCGGGCTCGAGCACACTGACTTTCGACTATATATTCGATGCGAGTGTACGGTGCAGCATTGACCGGTGTATAAGGAGCTGCGACTACCGCGGATAGGCTTGCGGCTACGATCCAGAACGACTTGGCCAGCATGCTGTCGATGGGCCGGGGGATCACGAGATTCTTTTACGGGGGCCGAGGCTAGGAAAATTTCTCAAACGTTGCGGAGCTGTGCATGAAAAGACTGGTACAGCCGCGCTACATGACCACAAAGGAGCTCGTTGGGTTGCTACAATGTCGCCATGGCTCCCATTCCGAGAAGAACATTGGACAACTGGGCCCCGGACCTGGTCCGCATCGATTGTGAGAGCCCTGGGACAGGAGCTCCGAATGAAAGTGTGTCGCGCTGAAGATGCTGCGAGTTCTGGTAAGCTTCTGACGAGGTGTGGTCGGACAGATTGCACACAATGTCCAGTAGAAACGCGCATCGCCTGCGCAACAGTCGGCAACGGCCAGTTCAGGATCCGGCCTGAAAGCGCCTCCGATGGACAATGTTGCCACATAGCTGACCATGCTCGGCGACATGATACGTTCGTGGCGGATCAGCATGAGATCGCCTTTGGGCTTTTGAGTTTGCTGCGACTTGTTGCGCGTCAGAAAGCGGCAGGCGTAGTCGAGGCTTCACTGACAATCCAGATGTGGTCACTGGCCACTCTGACATTTGTTGTAAATCTGCCGTCCACGTAGACGCCCGCAGCGGTCACATTGCCCTCGACGCACAGCGATTGGCCGATGCGGACGACTGCATCTCTCAGCTTTTCGTGACAGTTGCTGCGGAATGACTGACAGCGCAAGACGTAGGACATGAATTCTGTGGGATATGCGGCGGTGATCAAGCTACTTGTCAAGATGATCAGAGCATGACATCTCATCTCAGGCCAGATGCATGCGATGGGCAGGAAGGCACGCACGCGCAAGTCGCCTCCTCCTTATAAAATCAAAAGACACGTGGCGCTCGCCAACAGCCTAACGGCCCAATCTGCAATCCCATGGCCGAACAAGGCGTCGCTGCAGACATCAGCGCACCGTCTGGCGTCAGCACAGGAGTGGCTGCAGGCCGTGATACCGCTTCGACAACGCGCTCGGATGCGACGGACCCGCATTCGGTGCTGGTAGCAACGCTGCGATTGCAGATTGCCGACCTGCATTCACAGGTCTCTGGTCTCAATTCGAAGCTAGTACAATCCTACGATCGTCTGGGCAACCTCGAGGACGAGCTGCACCATCATACAGAGCAAAATGTCGCGCTCAGGACCCGAGCAGAGAAGCTCGAGGAAGAGCGACGATCTTTCGAGGAACGCATGGAGGGCGGAGTCCTTGTCGAGCGGGTGAATTCTCCCGCTTGGCTCAGTGTGCTGTACGTGCTGACCGAGCGGATTCTCCAGCGCGAGATCCAGACAGAACTGACGCGTATGATGGACAAGTTGCTCGAGGAAGCAGCGCACCGTGGAAAGGCAGAGGCAGACAAGGCAACCATCGAGTCAGAGCTAGACGAACTGTCTGCCACACTCTTCAGCGAGGCCAATCAGATGGTCGCGATGGAACGTATCACTCGCGCCAACGCTGTTGCCAAAGCAGTCTCGCTCGAGACCTCCTTGCGAGATACAGAGGCAATGATGGTCAGCCAGGCCGAACAGTTGCGCAACCTCAGCACGCAGTTCGAAGAAGCAGATGCAGAGCGGAAACTGCTCGCAGAACAGCTGGCTGCTGCCGCTATAGGTGGCGCTGTCGTCTCTGGTAGCGTTGCAGCGTTAGCCTCCACGAGCAACCATCAGCTGGACAGCCAGAAGGGCACACGCGATGTCAAGCAGAATCCTGTCTACCCCAATGCGATCTATAGCAATTCAAAGGGCGCGCTGATGTCGTCATCAGAAGCACTACGCTCCGCGAATAACCTTCATTCTGCGCCTTCGTCACCGTATACAAGCGCGATGCTCGGATTCAGTCTGTCTCATCCCTTGCCCTTGCTATACACCGATGTACTGCCATATACCGAGTTTATATCCTTTGTACGCTATCTACGCCAAGTGAGACGACAAGCACTTGCCCGTCCGCCCTCGCATCCCTCGAGCGAATCTCGCATATCTTCAGGCACGTTTGGTTCAATCTACTCGTCGACGAAGCACGATAGCTCCGCAGCACCGCCCGTGCTCGGTCCCGTGCTCAAGGGAGCAACGCAAGAACAGTCCAATGCGCTCTATCAACAACTACCGGTTTCGACACATACCTCCCAGGCGTTTCTCAAGCGCTGCATAGAGGAAGATACCGATCCTGCCTTGCGTCTCGACCTCGCCCCTGCTCTCAATTTTCTGAGCCGCCGAACGATCAATGCTAGCATCATAGAGGGCACAGTGAATATCGAGCCTGCCCATCGAACCATCCCAAGCGATCGCTGTGCTCTGTGCGGAGCCGCATTGATACAGAAGTTCGGCGGAGGACATATCCGGGTAGCCTCTTCGGCCGAGGAAGCTGCAAGTGGCTCCGGCTCGCGTCCGACAGTTCGCAAAATGCTGAATTCATCCTGGTCTTTCGGCCGGCCGTCAACGCTCTCTGGCGAGACTGCCAGTACGCCTGCCTCGCCGACGATTGGCCACGGCTTTGATCATAATTCGCCGAGCGGAGCGCATCTGTCTATACATGTCTTCAAGGCAGGCGACAATTCGACGACAAAGTACCCCTTATGTCCGCACTACTGCTTGCCCCGCTTACGAGCAGTGTGCGACTTCTGGACATTCATCCGCTCGCTCGAACGGGCTCTGCTGCTCAACGAAGGCGTTGCCCGACCTTACTATGATGCGCCCGCAGAATCAGCACCTGCTCCGCGCTCAACGCTGGACACGCCCGGCAGTCGCGTTGCAGAATCTGGTTTAGGTCTGTCACCTTTGCATATCGATCGTTCGCAGTCTGCACCGCCTGCAACTCAGCCAGACGAGCCAAGGGCCGTCAAGACACCGCCGCAGACGGAGGAGCCGACAGAGCCTGCAGACACTTCTGCCGATATCACCACGAACGGTCTGGGCGATACGAGCACAGAGATGCCAATCACGGGACATGTCGTTGAGCAAGGTGCTAAAGCAGCACACGCTGACGAGCCTGCCGCAATGCCCACGTTGGAGACTTCCGAGAAGAATTCGCCATCTTCTGCGAGTAGCGTGACGGAGGGCTTTGAAGACGCAAGTGATGCACACTCGGCAGAGCCAGAGGTTGCTCCGGCCGTCAGGGCTTCGCTCGTGGTCGAGGACAGTAAAGGCTTGTCCGCCTCACCTGACGCGACGCCTATGAGTACGACTGTACAACTGCCGGAGCAAGCCAAAGAGACGCCTCAACCGCCGCCACTGCCACCTCGAGATATAATCTCTACCAAGCCAGCTTCTCCCGCTCTTCCTCCACGCTCGCGGCCGCCGCCACAGCCTATCTCGACCGCCATGTCAGGCGCGTCAGAACAGCCGCAAGCTATGACGCAGAGCGAATGGGAAGAGAAGTGGTGGTCAGAGATCGTCAAGCTCAAAGAGACCATGTTCTGGTATCGCGTAGGAGCTGCCTTCTCGTTCGCGTGAGGTAACCGGAAATGCACTTTGCCTTGGAAAACATCAGACAGTCCGCGGGTCAGCTCGTGCGCGCGATTTGAGTCGCAAGTCGCGAACGGAATTGCCAGCGATTCGAGCGATTTGTCAATGCTTTGACAAACGCTGCAACAGCTACAATGTCGACCAAATCGGCGGGCATGCTGACGAGGCACAGGCCAGCCATGTGCAGTGCTAGCGCTCGCAAGTTCGACAAGCGCTCTTTCAGCAGCACATCGCATTGGAGCAAGCAGCGACTCGTCATCGTCGGATCTGGCTGGTCCGGATACACGCTGGCTTCCAACATTGATGCGCAACGATATGATGTCACTCTCATCTCGCCAAAGAGCTACTTTGCCTTCACTCCCCTGCTTGCTTCGACAGCGGTAGGCACGCTCGAGTTCAGACTAGCATTGGAGCCTGTTCGCAAGTTCTCGCCTCAGATCACATTCTTGCAGGCAAAGGTAGAGAAGATAGACCTCGCACGAGCGCAGCTAGAGTGTATGCCTGCAACGCCGCCGGTCAAGATTCATGGCATCAAGCAGAGTGGCAGCGAGCACCCGAAAGATGCCGCTCAAGCGGAAGTCGGCAAAGTGCAAGAGGGCGCGCACGAATCATTCAGCTACTCGTACGACAAGCTCATCGTTGCTTGTGGCGCCTACTCACAGACCTTTGGTATCCCCGGTGTCAAAGAATACGGGCATTTCCTCAAAGACGTGACGGACGCGAGGGCGATACGCTCGCGGATACTCGAATGCTTCGAGCAAGCAGCCCAGCCCAACGTGACAGACGACCAACGGCGAGCGCTCTTGCATTTTTGTATCGTCGGTGCAGGACCGACAGGTGTCGAATTTGCTGCCGAGCTGCACGATCTCCTGACGGCAGAGATTGTGCGATACTACCCCAGCATCGCCCGATTGGCACGAATATCGCTCTACGACACCGCTGATCGCGTTTTGGGCACTTTCGATCAGGAGCTGTCGGAATATGCCATGTCGCGCTTCATGCGCGAGGGCATCCAGCTCAAGATGAATCACTCGGTCACGCGAGTCAACCCGAACAGCTTGGAAGTCAGGGAAGAAGGCACAGTGCCATACGGCATGCTCGTTTGGTCCACTGGACTGGCTGCCAATACGCTCATTGCCAACCTGACCGATCAGGAAGTCAAGAAAGATCCACGCACACATTCGCTCCTCACAACCGACGGACTCGAGGTTTTTGATCCCAAGGGCAAAGCCATGGACAACATTTTCGCCATCGGCGATGCCGCAGTCGTAGAAGGTCAACATCATCCTGCTACAGCGCAAGTCGCAAGTCAAAAGGCGAAATACCTTGCCAAGAAACTCAACGCGATAGCAAAAGAGCGAACATTCAGCACACCGTTCGTATATCAAGACCGGGGCGTCATGGCCTACGTAGGCGATTGGAAAGCCCTCATATCGACACCCGGAGGCGGCAGCGCCAAGGGCACAGGAGCTTGGCTTGCGTGGCGGCAAGTCGTCTGTCTGCTCGTCCATTGCATGTGCTAATCTCACTCCCGGTTGCAGATCTGTCTACTGGAGCATGGCAAGATCACCGCGCAATCTGATCCTAGTGCCTACCTATTGGTTCGTCGGCTGGCTATTTGGCCGCGACATCTCCCGCTTCTGACCTAGCGCGAGGCTTCACGCATATCATACCATAGAAGAATACGGGCAATATAGAGGACCTTGTAGAAAATACAAAGCATGCATGCAATCGATCAACGACGCGCTCGCTACTGAAGTGAGGTACTGCTCTTGGCCTGGCAAGTCATACTCTGATGAGCAGCGTCGGCGCAAGATGCCTTGCATGTCTGTTGAAAGATAGCAGGGCCGATAACGGCCAGGCCAGCCTGAATGATGGCATCAGCTGCCAAATACGCGGCGTTGGTGTCAGCCCGAACCTTGTTATTGTCAAATTCGAAAGTCTGCTCGAGGACACTGGTGCGAGTAACTCAGCTAATGCCCAGAAAAGGCAGTGAAGATGGAAGGCACTCACGCAGTGCAGCAACCTTCAGGAGCGCCGCTGACAGTGGCGACGGCCGTAGCTTTGGCAGTCAGGCGGCCAGCCGCATTCATGCCCGTGTCCGTAGTCGTCACGCCAGGTGTCCAACCGTACTGCGCCGAATGAGATCAGCTGCTGTCTGTTGCAGTCATATGACCATGAGACCGACCAGGAATAGCTTATCGTCAGCACGAGCAGTAGCGTAGAAACTCTTGTCAAGATGAACTGAGAGCGCGTTCTGAGCGGTGGCAGAGTAAGCGCACTCGCCAGTGGCTTCGACTGTATTGTTGGTCAGGTCGGGTGATGTATGGCAAGTATGATGAGACCCACGCTCGACGAAGTAGCCAACAGAATGGTCGCGAGGGCTGATCGTAACACCGAGCACGAATGGCAGAGCAGTGAGAATTGTGATGAACGTCGTAGAAAACATGTTTGTTTGCAGCAAATTGAGAGTTATTGGCAGGCGAAGGTATTCATGCTTGGCCTCGCAGGGCGAACCCTTTTGTTGTGATGGGACAATGTCGCGGCTGCCGCACCGGCTTCGAGCCCTACCTCCTCACTAGGTCCTTGCCATGTCCCTCGGTCAAGCTGCTGCCGGCGCCACGATAACTTGCTCGAGGGCATTCTCAACGCGGTCGTCAGCAGCACGTGAATCGTCTTCGCCACGAGCGGCCGGCGCTGGCTCTTCGTCAGGTCGCAGGAACGCTACCGTTTCTGGCTCATTGTCTTGCCAGAACGAATAATCTGATCGGGTACTGAATCGTCAACACTGTGCTTGGTTGCTGAGATGCAAACTCACCGAAAGACTCGAGCTGACAATCAGAGCCATCTTGTAAGCTGCTCTGATTGACGATAACGCCACGTTTGGCGCACTCTTCGAGCAAGCTCGGTACCAGCTTGCGAGGATCCCAACGAAGCCGCTGAAAGCTGCTTAGCCACCACTTGAAGCCGATCGTGAGATGCTGCAACTTTGGCCATGCGCCTGCTTTCAGGGCTCGCCAGAAGACCAGTGTGTCTGTACAGCTGCTGATGACGAGCGAGTGTAGATTCGGCGCGTCGCATAGCTCGACAAGGAGGTCGAGCGTACCGTAAGCTTCGAGATGACGCAGGTCTGGGCAGACTAGCTTTTGCTCGATCAAAGGCGAGCTTCGAGGCACCCACGTTGAGCCGACGGTGGTCAGAGTCTGCAGACTTGCGGCGTGCGGGCGCAGTATCTCTGCAAGCGCATCGCTGCGTGAGATCGGCAAGAGATGTAACTCGCGCAGCTCGCCCGCCCAAGAAAGCCTGGGCGAAGCGAACAAAGGCAGACAAGAGCCGGCTTCGCTGCTGATGATCTGACTGACATCGTTCTTGTAGATCTCGAGCCAGCGGAGGGACGGAGCTTGCATGATGCTGTACGATAGGTCGGAATGCGCTTCGGCATGCGCTTCGCCTTTGTCTTCAGTGGACGGTATGAAGTATAGCTCCAGCGATTGTATGTTGAAACACATCGAGATCAAGCGAGCGGCGACATTGGCAGAGCGTGCATCGCGTATGCTGAGTGATAGCACTCTGAGCTTGTTCGTCTGACCTATCGTCAGATGGTCGACAACCGTGCGCAAGGCAGGCAGAGCCAGAGCTCTCAAGAAGAGAGCTCGGATGCGTTCGCCCGCCATCAGCACAAGTAATTGTTTGGCATAGTCTTGCGCCTCGTCGTCGCCAGTCTCGGCCCATGGAGAAGTACCGAGGTTGAGTGTTCCAATGCTTTGGGCAAGCTGAGGCGAGACTGTCGCGAGCGCATGTAGTTCTCGCAGTCTCTCTGGTGAGTCTGGCGCTACGTGCTGTGCACCATGCTTGTCAGCAAGTAGAAGCAGAGACGACCCGTTGGGAGCTCGCCTTGAACAAACGCAAGGCGCAAAGCGGTCGGATCGCCTTTGATGCTAGACTGAGCTCGCGCGCGCTTTGAGCATCGCTGAGCTTGATGATGCCGTGTATGAGCTCTAGGGGCAGGCTCTGCAGACACGTTGTGCTGTCCATAGCGAGCTGATGCATGTCTGTGTCGGCCAATACCTTATCGCGCTTTTGTTATCACGAGACAAAGACAGTCGCGTCCTTTTATTAATTACTGAAGATCAATCAAAGACGCGTCCTGAATCTTTCGCCGCCTCGTCTGGTCATCTCCACATCTGGACTTACTTACTCTTTGCCGACACAGACAAGTTTGGTGCGACAAAGATGCCCGAGATCAAGCCGAGCCCTCGCCGGACTTGCGCTTGCGAGGTGAGAGGATGCTGTAACGCGCCTAGTGGAATGGTGGAAAGAGATGATTGTGCTACTCCTCTGAGTCGGCACCCGGACGCCTCGGAGAATAGGCCCGTTCTGGAGAAGTAATCAGCTTGAGCGAAACGGCCCTTGCTCCAAAGTAGCAAGACTTCTGCCCGCACACCTCTGGTCACGGGATCACGTCAGGCTGCGAAAGTCGTCAATGATGTCGCGCCTGAGAAGGAGCGAGGAAGCCATCGACAAGCGCCGGTGACGCCAGTCAAGATCCAAAGGGCAAGCAGGCCGCGTCGAGCCCCGATCGTAAGCTGCCTCAGTGTCATTCGTCGCGCATCATGGACATCATGGGCCGCTCGCAGGCGCCTCGAGCGATCTCGTTGCCGACCTCACAAGCCATCCTGGTTGTGTGCCTTGACTGTCTCGCACCCCTTTTTCGGCGCGCGAGCCTGAAGAAGGCCGCTCGTCAGCCTCTGACCGTCCGGCGGCTGAGATAGATTCCGGCCTGTTGCCTGTTTAGGTGCCGGAGCCGACAGATCCTCGAACGCTGCCGGACTACAAGGCCATGATGGTATGTACGACGAGATCGGTCCGCAGTTCCCGTGGCATGGCATGGACAAGACGGCACGATCGGATGGTATTGACAACCTCTGAGGCACTACCTCCGACAGCGGTCGAGCCACGGCTCAGCAAAGGCCATCGATTTGGCCCGGGAGGTATACGTCGTTGGGCCTCTTTGCCTCCCTCTCTGCTGACAACTTCGTGGCCTAGACATGTATCTGCATCAATTTAGACAGGCTCCGTATTCCACCGTCTCTCCCATCGAGCGAAATCAGATTGCATTTTGTTCCGAACAGCGATTGAGTTTGCGTCACTTTGAGAAAGCTCGCATCCGACAAAAACCGTCGCGTCCTTCTCAAGCAGCAGATAGCCGAGCTTGCCGACAGACGTCACCGGCCCGTACATTGTCAGGATGTCACAAGCGACTCTGGCTCGCATACAGAAGATCCAGAGCCATCTTCAAACGGCTCCGCAGGGAATCCGCCTCAAGGACAAAGTCTGTATTCTCACCGGCGTCGGCTCAGAGCGGGGTATTGGGTAAGCTTACAGTCTGGTACCTGCTCGACCTGAGGTCATGTAACGGCACCAGGCGAGCGAGTGCGCTATTGTTTGCGCACGAGGGAGCGAAGCACTTGTACCTGCTCGACTACGAAGCCGAGCATCTGCCCAAAACGAAAGCTTACATCGAAAAGACATACCCACACGTCAAGGCATGCCAGTCTGCCTGGCCAATACCAGGAGCTCACACACGAGACACAGGTGACGACCATTGAAGCGGATGCAAGCGACGAGGACGTCATCTCGTCATTATGCCAGCGCGCCGTCGAAGAGAATGGCAGGCTCGACGTCTTCTTTGCCAATGCAGGTGCGTCCAATCACTGCTGATGCATACAGGACCATTGTATACTCACAATATGATCAGGCGTGGCGACGGCAAACGTCTTGCCGAATATCGACTTTGATGAATTTGAGAACACGCTGAAGATCAATACCATTTCGTGAGCGAGCGTACGTTGCGATCGAAGGCTGCTCATACAGCAGACAGATGCTTCCTTGCGCTCAAGCATGGATCAGCAGCAATGCAAGACATAAGAGAGGGCAGCGGAAAGACAGAGTCAGGCGGCAGCATCATCATGACCGCTTCGGGTACGCTGTGCAATCTCTATCCGCAAACACATCCTGATACCGGATGCAGTGGCCGGCATAAGAAGCGGTGCGGGGTCTTGCGATTATTCGGCGAGCAAAGCGGCCGTCATCTCGCTTGCCAAAACGGGCGCGAATCAGCTAGCAGGCACGAATATCCGCGTCACTGCCGTCTGTCCGGGTCTGATCTCGACGTGAGTGATTCTAGCCCGTCAGGAACGCACTCGCTGACGGAGCGTGTAGTGGCATGACTGCGATGGTGTTTGATGCGGCAAAAGAGAGGGGCACCTTGGCCAAAGTGGGCCAATTGAATCCCTTGCGACGCTACGGCGTGGCAGAAGAGATCGCAAGCGCAGTCCTGTTCCTGGTCCGTGCTACTGCTGTCATACTGCTGTGAACAGTGCTTACGGCCAAAGCAGGCATCGGATGAGTCATCGTATGTCAATGGCATCGAGCTGCCCGTCGACGGCGGTCTGTCGTCCAGTCATCCGGTTGTACCGGGTAAACTGGCCTAGCGTCATGCACGTACCCACTCTATGAATCCGACTGTTGGTAATGACCATAGCTGTGTCCGTCTGGTCGGTATCTGAGTGATCTTGCCCGAGACCATCTTGCAAGGTGAAGCCGAGCGTACCGGTGAGACGGCACGCTCTGGTGCCTGTAACGTCTCGTCTGGATCGCCATCGACGCTGAGCGAAGTGATAGAAAGAGCCAAGTGGGAGATATCGTCATCTGTGGAGCCCAGGTCGCTCTGATCGCCGTCATGCTCTTCACTGATTGCGCTCGGCGCTCGACCGAGCTTTAATGGAAGCAGACCGCTCGTTTGCCGACGTCTTGCTGAGCTATCGTCCCATGCCGGTCGTCTATCCGGTAAAGGTGCGTCAACACGAGACGCGTCTGCTGAAGCGTCAGAGAGGAAGCTAGAAGACATTGCATCATGGTCCGAAGCTGCGTCTGACGATAGATCGGTAGCAGAAGGTGTATAGATCGCGTTCTTCTTCTGTGCAGAGGTACCGATGGATGGCCAAAGCAGGTAGACGACTTGACGACCCTGCACGTCGGTTTTGGTGAACGACGGGACGCGATAGTATCGCGCTGTGCAATGGACCAAGAAGCGGTTGAAGGGCGCGAGCTCCCAGACAAGATTGTACGGTGTGCGCGAGACCTCTTGTATATATTGCGATTCGCCGGCTGATTCTGTGCACAAGCATATACGTCGCAGGTTGCTCGAGTCGTCGACAGATGCCGCACGAAAGACCTGAGACCCATCTAGCCATTGCTCAATTTCGTTCTGTATCGTTCGTATGCTGTCCTCTATCGATCCGCCTTGTCCTTCTTCGGGTCCTATGAGGCGCTTGAACGTTCTATGGATGCCTTTGAGCGGAGCATGGAAGCGTCCCATATCGGCCGAGTGCAGATCGAGATCCGGTGCAGCCTGACTTGGCAAGATCTGCTGCGACTTGAAGCCTGCCGGACTCGGCGCGGGGAACGAGCGCGCATGCGGCAAAGTCGGATATCTATCTTGCGCCATGGCAGGCACAGCATGAGGATTGTGAGCGAGCGTCACTATCGCGTGCCCGAGATGAGTCTTGGACGAGATGCTGCAGACGTAGCAAGCTGACCGTTCTCATATCGCCTCCGACGATGACGCGAGCCTGTCAATCCGCGTTCTTTCTCTTCCCGACGATTGCGAGTGGGAAGCTTGACTGACTCGACGTTGGTCCGTTTGGTCCGATTGAGCAAGATAGCCGGTATCGACAAGGCAACCGGTTCGTCCAGCGCGGGCAAGATCGTCGCTCCCGTGAGAGCCTGAGTGTCACCCGCCATGAGGTGCAGACTGCTCTTGAGCTCGTCCGACCGGCTGTGGCGATAGGCTGACCGCTGATCCGATCGACTTGTCGGACAGCCAAAAGAAAAAAACCGTCGCGACGAGTCGGCGACAAGTCGAGTTGACGAGTCTGGGAGGAAGCATGACGGGCAAAGACATGCTCAGCGAGTCCCTCAAGGGCCGCTGCCTCTTTGCCATACCCAAGAAAGGTCAGCCACCGTCAAAGCAGAGCATGCGCAACGAGTTGATGCAAGTTTACAGGACGGTTGTACGAAAAGTGTCTAGAGCTCTTAGCAGGTCGGTGCCCCGCCAATGGGCTACAGACAAGCTCACGCGCAGGTTGCTGCGGGCAGGCGCAGATATCCAGTTCACTCGCTCGCACCGGCTCGACGTTGCCCTCGTCAGGAACCACAACGTTGCTCTGTACGCGACAAGACTACTCCAGGCCAACAGCCCCAGGCCTGACCTCGAGCGCAGGATCTTCCTTCCGGCAGCAGATATACCCCGTTTCGTAGGAGAAGGCAATGTCGACCTGGCCATCACCGGTCAGGATATGGTGGCAGAGGCAGACATGGGCTCTCTCGTTGATGAAGTCTTGCCGCTCGGCTTCGGCAAGTGCAAGCTGCAAGTACAAGCACCCGAAGACGGTCCCATCAAGACCGTAGAAGATCTCGTGGGTCGCAAAGTCGTTACGAGCTTCGAAATCGTCGCAGGCAAATACTTTGCAAAGTTGGATGTACAGCATGGACGCGTCGGAAAGGACGAGCCACCGAGTCAAGGGCGAGGAGGCAAAGGGACAGAGATAGAATACATTGGTGGCAGTGTAGAGGCTGCCTGTGCTCTCGGGCTCGCAGATGGCATCGTCGATCTTGTAGGCAAGTCTCTTGCGTCACTCGCCCAATGGCCCATCATCTGAGCAGGTGCTCGCAGAGTCGGGCGACACCATGCGCGCAGCCGGTCTACGCGCGATAGCGACAATCTTGCAATCAGAGGCTGTGCTGATCAAGTCGACACGGGCAGCACCGGAGAATCAGTCAGTCATTGACCTCATCACGCAGAGAATAGCAGGCGTCATCGCTGCAAATCGCTACGTGCTCTGCAATTACAACATGCCTCGCGCCAAGCTCGCTCATGCAACCAGTATCACCCCTGGGCGAAGAGCAGCCACGATCACTCCGCTAGACGATCCAGAATGGTGCGCAGTGAGCGCGATGGTCGTCAAGAGCACGATTGCAGAGACGATGGATAGATTACAAGCTGCCGGCGCTTCCGATATCCTCGTCATCGGTCTTACAAATTGTCGTGTATGACGCTTGCATCTAGACGCCTTTGTTGCTGACGAGTGACGCCCCTTTCTGCCTTTGTTACTACTCCACGCGCGACGCGCATCTGACTTTGCCTCCGCACAGACTTCTCTTCCTCATCACCTTTCTGTACAATCTCAAGCATGCGATTGGTTCGTCTGCTGGGCCAGGCAAGCCTTGCAGTGGCTTGGCGGCCTAGCCTAAGTACGGCACCCGCCACGCATGGCGTACAGCTGGTCAGCGATAGTAACGCCCATGGGCCCTGCTCTCTCGATCTCAATACCTGTTCGGCTCTGGCCATTGACGACGAATCAGCCCGGCAGTCAGTAGCCATCAAGCTGACCTTGTGCGAACTACGGTCAGCAGCCTTTTCGATCCCACGAGAATGTGAAGCACATCATGTCAACATCAAGTCCTGCATCGAAGCTCTCGGTCGATCACCCCAGCAATGGGCCACATACAGCGTGTGGTCGAGAGACGTAGCTCATTCATGTTCAACGCATAATCGCTGGAGAGATCTAGAGCATGCAAAGTCGCTCTACCAAACCGCATCGAGGGATCTGGCTGCTGTTGCTCAAGAACGCGCCGAATTCAATGAGCAAGCACGGTCGCGGTTTTCAGAGATGCAGGAATTACAATCGGGACTCGCAAAGGCAGCATCGCAGCTCTTTGGTGACTTACAGCAAGATCTTTCGCTGGCATTAACGCATCGAGACAACGCATACGCTGCTGGTTTATCTGCGAGTTTGCAATCCAGTGACGCTCGTATGGCTCACTTTGCGTCGATAGCGGCAGAATCTCATCGACATCTCAGTGACAATTTATCGCTCTTAATGAATCGTGCGGGTACGGAGATGGAGCAAGTCATCGCTCGAATTGCTCAAGCGCACCTTGCGAGCTTGGACGCGCTAGATCGGCAGGGACAGCAGCTAGAGCTGTCACTCGGCGGCATTCTGACCTCTGTTGCGCATGTCGGACAACTATTTGATACTCACCTACAGAGTATGACGAAGCTCGACGCGCTGGCAGGCTACACTCTTGCTCATTTGCAAACGATGCAAGAAACCTCGCTGCAATTACGCACGTCGACAGAAGCGCAGGTAGAGCATATCGCGCGCGTCCACACGCTACTCGAATCGGTCTCGGTGGCTGCAAGTACATGGCGAGCGCCAGCCGTGATCGATACGATCTTGCAAGTCTTTCATCTCGCTGTGAACCTGCCAGCGCTCTTGACGGCTTTGGCAATGGTCTGTGCCTGCGCGTGGCTTGCAAGCAAGTTACCGATTGCTGGTGCGTGTCGCCTGATCTTTCGGACGGCTCGCTTCCTCTTGCGATGCATCTGGCGGAAGAAAACGTCTCAAGAGACGGTGAAGCCCATAAGACCGAAAGGATTGAGACAAGCGACCTTCTTTGCCCCGTCGAGCGGACCCGGATCGCCAGTTGTGATGCGAAGAGGTCGTGTATAATACATGGAGCTCGTCAGTCGTCACGTCTTGAACGAGCTGGGAAGACAAGCCACAGCGCGCCTAAGAAGACGCAGATGCCGATCATAAAAGGCGGTAGAGTAGCTAAGCTTGTCGATTCTGCCAGTGTGCCGTAAGCCAGAGGTCCAATGGCGCTGCCGGCGACTGCTTGATTGTTAGCTCTGCTCCATCTGAATTGAGGAGACGTACGGCCTACTGCGATGCTGAGCGACACGACGCTACCCTTGAGTGACGGTGCAGAGCTTGCAGATATCTGTGCTAGCACCGCAGGCGTTATTGGCCCCTGGAATGTAGCAGATCAGGCGATGCACACATGAGCAACGCGCAGAATTGTACGGACCATAAAGATGCCGAGCATAACAATGGCAAAGGCATCGACGGCGATGACATGGATTAACCACACTAGACCTAACAAGGCGCAGCAGATCGATAGGTACGACACTGCTTGCCACTTGGCCGAGAGTCCGACAGCAGCTGCGATCAGGCTCAGCAGGGTTCGTCCGAGTGCGATGCCGCCCCAGAAGGCAGACAGATAGTAGCGAGATGTAGCGGCAGAGACGTCGCGTTCGGTTGTGAGCCACGACACGAGCCATGCGCTGACAGAGTCTGTCATGCCAAACGATGAAGCCATCATGATCGCACCAATGAGCAAAACTTTGCTCTTGCAAGCTGCAAGCATTCGCTTTGCAACTCCTGAGCCATCGAGCGACGAATCCCCCTCGTCACGAGGCTCGACATAGCCATTGAACGTGAACCAGATCGCAATACTGAGCATGATCGAAGCTGCCATCGGCGCATAGTAATACAGCGACCAGTTTAGCTTTCGGTCGAGAATCCCGCCCACGATGATAGGCGCAAGGCAAGCTCCTATGCCAAAGCAGGCATACATGTACTGCATGAGGTTGCCCGAACCTTGCTTGTGCGCGATGACCGTGGACAGTGCGGAGTCCAGTAGCCCGCCTGCTAATCCAAAGCCGACCAGTGCTATAATGACAGCGTAGAAAGGGGGCGTCCGACTGATGAGCAATGAAGATGCACCAAGAATGCCAGCGCCGAGTATCAAAGTATGCCGAAACCCGATAGAATGGGTCAACTTGGTCGTCACCAGACAGCTGAACAAGTACCCCGCAACGTTGGCCAGAAACACCGTTGATACACGCTCATAGGAGAGACCGTAGTGCTGTGCAATCGCTTCCAGCACGGATCCAGTCGCCGAATCGTTTGTGCCCACGAGCGCAATGAGCGCAAAACTCGTCGCGAGCAGACCGAAATCGTCGGGCATGCTTCTGGCCTTCTGCAGTTGCGTGGTACTATGCAGACTGCTCAACGAGGTTCTTGCAGTTGTTGATGAGCTGTGAGGTTCATAGACGGGCTTGTTCGTCATCGAGCGCGAGGGGGATTGTTCGCGAGAAGAAGGCAACGACTCGATGTCGAGATTACGCGCTTGATAAGCTGCCAGATCGAATTGCTCGAGCTCAACGCTTTCATGCGAGGCCGAATGACGTCCACGCGGCTCTTCCATATCAGCGCAAGCGTAGCGGTCGCTACAAAATTTTGTTCATCTCACGCGCATCTCAGCCGTATGGGGCATCGTGACGTGATCTGTGTCATTTATCATCGAAATTCAAATGAATCATCACCCTGTCCATCTCTCCTAGTCGCTGTTCATAACCGCTTCCCGCTGCGCTCAGACACGCTCTGTGATCTTATTGCCCCTGACTTGCCAGCGACCGTGCGTGCTCGTCGGGGAAAGGCTCGAGCGATAGCCTATTCTCAAGCTACAGGCTAGCGCCGTCCCAGTAGCATGCAAGCCTATCAAGATGAGAACGCTACTCTCTCCGTGCTGCAATCAGTATGGAAGAGCTTACCATTGATGGCGAAGTGCGCGTCGAGGAGATCGTCGGCGAGCATGCCCCAGAAAAAGTCATCGATGCCACATCAGAACTCTTCCCGACGTCAGACGAGAAGCCGCGCGTCGAGCTTGCCCCTGCAATTCGCGAGAAGCTCGCGGCAGCTCTCATTACGAGCCAGCGCGACTTACAGTATCCTGAAGACCTGCGTGCGCGACTCGAAGCCGCTCTCGACTGCGCCCCGATCAGTATTGATGTTCTTGTTGAAGACGTGACTCTATACGAGCAGCTTATCGACCATTCGCCATATGTCGAAGTGCGCTCCGTAGTGCCAGACAGCGATGATCCAAATATACCGGTTGGCACGTTTCGCGCCTATGCGATCGGTCTCACGTTTGCGGTATTCGGTACTGCTGTCAATGTCTTCTTCTCCGCCCGCAATCCTAGCATCGCACTCAATACATTTACAGCACAAATACTATCTTATCCCATTGGCTGTGGTATGGCTGCCAGTCTACCGACGCGCGTTTGGTCAATATTCGGCTGGAGGTTCACGCTCAATCCGGGTCCCTTCAACAGCAAAGAGCATATGCTCATCACCATCATGGCGAACGTATCCTTCGGCGGCTTGGGAGGGTATGCTACTGATATTCTGTTCGTGCAAAAGCTGCCTGTATTTTTCAATGACGCACGCGCCAACAAGATATTCTATCAGATCTCACTCGCACTGTCCACTCAAATGATTGGCCTTGGCCTTGCCGGTGTCCTGCGCAACACGCTTGTCTATCCCGCTAGCATGATCTGGCCTGCGTCGCTCTCGACGATAGCTCTCAATCAGAGCTTCCATTCTCGCGAAAACACAGTAGCAAATGGCTGGCGAATGTCTAAACTCAGACTCTTCTCTCTCGTCTTTGCTGCATACGGGATTTACTGGGTCTTGCCCGACGTTTTTGTCAAAGCGTTAGGCACGACGTCTTGGATTACATGGTTCGCCCCCAACAATGCCTCGTTGGTACGCCCAGTCAAAGCGCTTTGCCCTTACGCGACGCTGATACGGAGTTCTGCAGGTGCTATGGTGCGGCACAATCACTGGTCTCGGCTTCAATCCGCTGCCATCTTTCGATTGGAACAATATGATTCTGGACGCCATCGTGACACCATTTTCTGCAATCGTCAATCTGGTGATCGGCATGGTCGTCTTTGGCTTGCTGCTGATCGTGCCAGTCTATTACTCGAACGTATGGAATACAAAGTACCTACCTATCAATTCGAATCAGCTCTTCGATCGTTTTGCAAATCGGTACAATGTCAGTCGCGTGCTCGACGAGAACTTCACGCTTGATCCAGCAAAATACGAGTTTTATTCAGAAATCTACCTGTCATCTGCGAACAGTCTGGTCTTTGCTGCCTACTTTGCCGTCTACGCTTCCACGCTCTCGTATGTCTTCCTCAATCACCGATCCGAGCTCAAAGAAGCCTGGCGGTCAATCTCTTTCCGGAAACGTGTCGCTCGACCGACCGACTTGCATAATCGCCTGATGACTGCGTATCCCGAGGTGCCTCATTATTGGTATCTTACCATTCTGGTGCTCTCGGTCATATTAGCGATCGTATGCCAGCTTGTATATTCAACCGGCGTACCTTTCTGGAGCGTCTTCTTCGCTCTCGGCTTGTCGGGCGTGTTTCTCATTCCTATTGGCATCATCGCTGCCTCGACCAACATTGAAGTCACGCTCAACGTATTGGCAGAGTTCGTAGGAGGCTATGCGGTACCTGGCAATCCGCTAGCGCTGATGATATTCAAGGCATACGGCTTCGTCACCGCTGCTCAAGCAATACAATACACAAGCGATCTCAAGCTAGGACACTATATGAAGCTCCCGCCACGCGAGATGTTTCGAGCACAGGTCATCGCTTCTGTGCTCAGTGCATTTGTTGGCCTGCTCGTCATTGCCTTCCAAGTCTCCGCAATTCCCGACATGTGCACGCCAGGTCAGCCGGATCGATGGACGTGCCCAGGCTATCAGACCTTCTTCACCTCGAGCCTGGTTTGGGGCGCTGTCGGCCCTCAGAGACTGTACAGCTTCGGTAAGCGCTACTCGGCCTTACTCTGGGCTTTCCCAGTCGGCTTCGTTTTGCCATTTCCAGTCTACTTCTTGTCGAAGCGCTACCCGAAAAGCATCTGGAGCCAGGTCAATGTTCCTGTCATGATCAGTGGGGGCATGGGATGGGCGCCGTTCAATCTCTCGCGATATGCACCCGCCTTGCCAGTTGCGTGGTTCTTCTCTGTCTATGTCAAGGGACGCTTCTTACCCTGGTGGCAAAAGGTATGATTTCTGCTTTCAGCGTCCGACTCATGCTCACCAGTATATGCAGTATGCATATGTCTTTGATACCGCACTCATGAGCAGCATCGCCTTATTCGGCGTCGTCTACTTTGTGTGCTTCGAATATAGCGGCTTTTCGCCGACCTGGATCGGCAATACAGTCATTGATCTCGGTTGCGAAGGAACCCGGGGCTGTGCACTCTTATCACTACCAGCATCAGGCGCATTCGCTTGAATATGCAATTTTATCTCGCGTGGTGACGAGGTGGCGCGTTATGCTCGGCGCAGTCATTCGGTGCAGGCCGTTCTTCGAGTCTTATATGATGCTTCGAGTCTCTTCCCCTCCGATCTTGGCAGAATTGCAGCTTGTTATCAGATCCTCCCCCAAGAAGTCCGTATTTTGTTCCTTGCTCGTCAATCTGCTCGTACGAGTGCAGACTGAAGTCGCCATACCATCCACAGGTGGTGACTTCGCCACTGCTTCCTACTCGTCAACGAGACAGAAGTCTGCAGCAAAGCAACGCACAGTTGCCAGTCGCCGTATGGGCAACTCAATTCGAACCATCCACTTGCTAGCCAAACAATGCGGCCCGCACATGCTAGCAGGGCTTGTGACGCGAACAGTACTAGGCTTGCCCTCATACTTCTGAAATGGAAAGCTTGTCGTCATGCTCATGTCGAAAAGTCAGTGGACGTAGCGACGAAAGGTCTGATGCAATGCGTCAAACGGCGTCTAGACGACCGCACAGTAGCGTGAGAAACAAGCTGAGCAGACCGGCGAACGAGGCACACTGGCTCTTGCGCGCGCCCTATCAAGCAGAGCACAGGCCAGACATACACCCCACTGAGCGTCGCGTGATCCGTCTGCGCCTGGTATACCGCTCAGCGCAATCTCGTGCGCGCTATCGAAAAAGACAGTTTGCTGCGCAAGGGTGTACTGTAGATCAAAGGCTGAGTAATTTGTCGTTGTGCCAGTGCCGATCGGACGATTAGGGATGTAGACAATCAACGGGTAGGTGTCACCTGCCTTTACTACAAACTTGCTTTCGCAGCCCAGGAATGTCGGCCTATTAGCATAGCCTGCCTTGACAAATGCATCGACAGACGACGGCATAGGCGGAAATGAGACCTGGTCGTTCAACAATTGCGCACGATTGGCTGCCGCGAACAGCGAGTCGCCTGTTGGGTGAAATGTGGTGCTCGATGCGCCCGTCGAGGCGTCGAGCGCAATAACGACATCCGTGTTGCGAGCACGCATCAAATGAGGCCATAGTGGGATCACCTCGCCATTCATGCCTCCATCGTCTATCGACAAGACTGTATAATTTGTCAGCGTCCGTTTCGGAATCAGCACACTTGGGTTACCTTCGTCATCTGCTTCCTGGTTTGTATTGATATTGATCCCGCGGAAAGGATTCGGATAGCGCGCCGTCAAGGCTTGAGGTGCCCTGAGAGCGTCTGCAAGTGGACCGGAAGGAAGCGGAATGGACTTGAGGTCACTTTGCACATTCTCCATTAGAAGACTCGCGCTCGAAGCTGCGACGAAGCCGAGATTGTCGAAGCCGGTCACGCAGCGGATTGGCTTGCCTGTTGTGTCCATCTTGCTGCCGAGATATCTGGTAGGAATGGCTGCGCTCACTGCGTTGTCATAGCTTGCAAATTCGCTAGGCGTGATCTCGAAGATCGGATCACTCTCGTTTGTTGCGATCTGACCATCTTTCAGGACATTGAGTACGATGATCGGGTAAGGCATTCTATGACTTGAATATGATGATGTCACCTTGAGAGCGGTCGAAAATGTGTCGGATGCACCTCGGTCTGCGTCGTTGGGCGAGAAGCGCTGGAGGGCACGTGCAAGCAAGTCGGTGATGCTGACAGGAAAGCCTGCAGCGAGCTTGGATGCCACATCAGCGAACATCGCGCGATACCAGCCGGCTTTGTCTAGAAAGTGCGTGGCAGCAGTAAACAATGAGCGCTTTTGCAGAGTAGGCGAAGTGAGGGGTACGTCGAGCTGCCAGCCGGAGATCTTGTCGTCACCGAAGACCAGGGCAGGCAAAGACGGCAAATCGTGCGAAAGGTACGACGTGAGAAACCACGAGCCTCCGGACAAAGCTGACATACGCGATGCCAATTGAAGCACGCCAGCTGTTTTGGCGGCTACGGCGCTTGCGTTGCGATTGTCGAAAGCAGAAAGAGCACCAGCGGCGAATTGAGCTGCCCGAAGGCCTCCTCCACTGACAGCAATACCCAGATTTGGCCAATTATTTGCAAATTGAGCGGAGGCATAGCCCGTGCTGGTCGCCTCGGTGTATTGCGACCACAGCAGTGGCAGGACGCTTGATTGTCGCGCTTGGATGTACGCAGTCTCCTCGGTGCTCAAGCTTTGGCTTGGCGTCAAGCCAGTCGTGCGTACGAGGGCCGCTGTCGGACAAGGCACTGTCTTGGGCGCGTAGCCGGCGCGAACAATGGGCAGAACGAAGCTTAGCCACGCAAGGATGTTCATGGACAGGCAATGAGTGAGTGAGAATTGGCGTGACGTGCAAGATGCAGAGGGACATGGTGCCGTGTGTCACAACATCCCGAGAGATCTCGACAACAGTTTTATCTGATCATCTCCCCGCATCGACCGCGCGGCCACGCTCCTCGCTCGATTGCAGCCGAGACAAGTCGATGATTATCTATCGCGATTTCATTAAGATTCCACAGTCCATCGGCGAGACATGCTCATTCTCCTGGTCTCCGGCTCAGCCATTAATCAATCGAAGAAGAACAGTTGAGCTCGGCTGCATCGAATTGATCTGGACCATACAAGCAATTTGGGAGACGATCAGCCCTCTTTTCTCGAGCGCATAATGACGATCTGGCCGCACGTCATGACGCCCTCATCTTCATCCTCGAAGACTTTCGCACGCAAAGCCTGCCACACGACATGGGCGAACGACCGACATGGCTGACAGACGTGATTGCCGCTTCAGGCGAACTGCTCGCGACTACGATCTTCTTGTTGCTCGGCGTGAGCTGCGTCTCTGTCCATCCGAGCAAGATGAGCTCAATGGATTTCGATTCAGCTGGGAGGCATTCAAGCGGCCGCGTTGGCCCAGATGAACAGCAATCCTCCACCAAGTGGCCTAACAGTCGAACAGCTTCTCTATATCGCGACTAGCATGGGTCTCTCGCTGCTCTTCACCTGTTTCATCTGGTTTCGCGTCACCGGCAGTGTCTGCAATCCCAAGTAGGCGCCCCTCAATCCGCGATTGGCTCAATCTTGACCGCGTGGCTCAGTGTCGCACTAGCGCTCGTCTTGACCGGCGTGCTCACGCCGTTGCGATTCGTGCTTTACGTCTTCGCCGAGATTATCGGCGCGATCATTGCTTCCGCGTTATTGTCGGGCCTCTTGCCAGGCCCATTGATGGTCACCTCCACGCTATCGCCCGGCGTGGGTCTCGCGCAAGGCATCTTCATCGAGGCCTTTGGCACAGCAGCACTTTGCTTGACCGTCATGTTCGTAGCGGTAGAAAAACATGCTGCCACGCCACTCGCGCCTGTCGCTATCGGTCTTACACTGTACGATGTTGCTCCTTGCAAACAGAGCATGTGCTGACGCATCGTAAAGGTTCGCGATCCATCTCTGGGCAGTCATTTACACGGGCGCCGCTGTCAACTTTGCGCGCAATTTCGGACCTGCTGTCGTCACTGGCTTCAAGTCTGACTTTTGGATTGTGCGTATTGTCACAGGCAGGCCGACGTGCCAGCTGACCCGCTTATTGCAGTACTTTGTCGGCGACGGAATTGGCTCACTCATTGCAGTCGCATTCTATTCATTCTTCAAATATGTCGACTACTGGGAACTCACGCCGGGCCAAGATTCGCAAAACATGGAGGACTCGCCCGAACTGCCTGGCGCGCCGAGCGTCGCCACCACACGCACAAACACGCGTACAAAATCTAATGCAGGCTCCAGTCGATCAGATGGCGATATGGAGATGCGCAACTACGAATCACACAACAGCGAGTATTCGTCCAGAAACCCACTAGAAAAGCGCGGTGGCGGTCGTCAAGCGAGACCTGTTGGCAACGGCATGCACGACATGGTCTAAAATTCAGATATGCATCTTTGTGCGCATACGCAAGCAGTTTCTTCTTCTTCCGTACACGGTCCGTATTGGTCGACATTCCATCATGTGTAGACAGGGCAGCTGTTGTAGCATGAGCAAGGATAATGTATGAAAGTCTTGAGAGCACACCGGCCTGAAGGTGCGGTATCGCAATGCATTGGCGTGCGATAGTCAGAGCAATGTACGACTGTAGGTACACCCACGCGTTCCGCTTGTTCGCTGGTGCGCTGTACGAGGCCGTTGCTACCGATAGACTCAGCTCCGCACGTGCGCTGGCGGGATGTAAACTCACATGCAGGCAAGTTCTGGGTATGTGTGGCAGCTCGTGAAGCGCGAGAGACCTCCGCTAGGACATGCGACGACAGCATGAAGATCACCAAGAACTGCTTCATAGTCAGTGATAAGTCGATCGTATTGTCGCAGGACAACGTGCTGACGGATTGCTTATCGATCGCAGAGGCGTCGATGACACAAGCGAGTATGCCGACGAGTAAGGTTCTGAGGCTTGTCATGCTGTATTCTCGACTTTACGCGCGGATCACTGGTTTCTTGTTGTACTTCAATGAAAGCAAAGGTTTTTGCCGACGTGCGACGGCTGCTATGACACGGTCGCGAGGGGTAAGGGTGTTTTTGGGCTGACGACTCGCTGCAAAGCAAAAAGTCGCTGCACGGACAAGACTCTGCTGGGACATAGCGAGAGAGACGATCGAGCAAGCGCTGATGCATGAAGGAGGTCCAGATGTGAGGTGTCTGCACAGCACAAGGCATGGTGGTGACGATGTCGCGTGATGCGCGCTACAAGCATCGCGTCGAGGACACCTCGACCTTTGTGCTCGAAGCAATCTCCCTCGGTATGATGTCACTCCGCATCCACGACAGCTCTCTAGCAGGATGCGATCCGCCCTTCTCACAGTCGCCGCGGCGCTGACGCTCCTCTGCATGTTCTCGCAAAGATTTCACCAATCTCGCAAAAATCTCAAGGTCAGCCTGCTCTGCATCATGACTCTGCGCTCAGCCACAACTTCGTCCCAGCAATATGGATGGGCCAATATCAGCTCGTTCGAGCCAGTCCCGAGTCTTGAAGATACTCCCGGCCGCTCAACAATCGCGGGGCTCGCAAAGCGCGCAGACATCAGTATTGATATTCCAGACGTAACAGTGCCTGTCCCTGATGGCACTTTAGCCTATGGGGGTTCGTCATCATCAGATGCATGCACTCGTTCCTGCTGACTTCACTGCAGGCTCATCGGGCAGCTCAGACAATCCAGGTGGTTCATGTGGCGGTGGCGGTCAGTTGAACGTGCGATCCGCGGACGTGCTGACAAGCTTTTAGGAGGTGCTGCCGGTGGAGGAGAAGGCGGTAGAGCTGGATGCGCAGTGCCGATCGTGGTCTCATCCTTTGGCTCTGCTCCCACGTCGGTCTATGTGTCGACCCCCGCAAGCGAGACGCTAGCTCACATCGAAACAACCACGGCATCGGGCCCCAGTGCAATGTCTTCGACAATCGTCGTAGCAGCAGCTACGAAGTTGGCCCTGCACATCACCCTTAGCGGCCTTCTCGTGTTTACCCTCATCGCCACCCTTATGCTGTTGTAGCGCGTCGTCGAACTTCTCTATCCTTCCGCGCAATGAGCGATCACAAGCTGAGTGTGCATAGCAAGAACAATCGGCGAACGAAGTCTCAGGCTCGTCTGCATCTTCATCGGCTGATGGATGACACGCCAAGCAACTTCCGACTGGATCCTCTGCCTGTAGCCAATCTGGGTATCCTGAGCACCCCCAAGCGGACTTCGAGCGACATCTTCTCGCCATCGACAAGCTCAGACAAGCTATCACCTCTGCGGAACCGCACTGTCCGCTTATCCCTGCCCGCCAGGAAACGATCTTCGCAGATCAGCAGCTTCACACGCAGCACGCAATTGTCCTCTTCCTCGTCTCCAGATGGCCTGTCGTCTGCTTCGCCATTGCGAGATCAGTACGAGCTGCGTCCGCATGAGCGCCGTCTTGCTCGGCGGTTGCAACGAGTCAAAGAGAAGGCAAAGGTCCAGGAGGCAATCCCAGCGATGGCGAAGATAAAGGCGCTGACACAGGTGATTCTTCGTCTTTGCATACTCATGCATTGACTGACAGCGTGCAGAAGGTGCAGCGCGAGCGTATTGCTTACTTTGCCGCGGTCGATGCTTTTGCGCTTGAGGAAGAAATTGTCGTCTGGTGACAGCCAGTACCTCACAACTTGGCGGACGGCGCTCGCTCGAACAGATCCATGACCATATCCGCAGCCACACCACTGCGCCACTCCAGAGTGAGCATGCTCCCTCGGCAATGCACGAGACATACCAATTCCTGACCATCTCCTGAGTCTTCGCATCTTTATCGCCCGTGATGGTGAATTGAAGGCTATCGGGATGAATCATATACGGAAAACCATACCGAACGACCCTGCCCCAGAGATAGCAGTGAAAGTTGAGGGAGTAGATCTGTGATGTTGACATCGTCCAAGTTGCCGCTCGTTGGTAAAGACCGTCCGAATACAAATCAGGCACATTGCCATCGGCAGACCATTTCAGCCCGACGAGGTGTCGGTCGATGCCTTGAGCGGCGCTAGCGTCCTTCATATCCTTGCCATGCTGCGCCAGCGCATCACGGAAGAGTTGCCGCCTTTCGTCGTCCGATGCATCTTTTGAGAGCATGCTTTTGACCCACTTCACCGCTTGCTCGGTGCAGACACGTACAGTCTCCGTCCTACCTAACTGCAAAGTGCTATGCTCGTCAGCTCTGTCAAGCAAACAGATCAGTAGCGCAGCCTTGCCTTGAACCGACGCGTCATTGCAGCTTCGTACGTTCCGACGAGCTGGCCTTCCTCCGTGAGCGCATGAGCAAGCTGCATCGTCATTTGTGTCCAGCCATCGGGAGAGCATTTCTGCTTCTTGATCTGGTTCTTGCCGTAACGCCGGTAGAGAGTGAAGCCAACCGTACAGTTGTCTGCTACGTTCTTTTCGTGCGCTTGTATAGCCTGCGCGATGTGGTCCATCGTGATGGTTGAGAGAGCGAACTTGACTTCTGTCGGAGGGCTGATTTGCGTGCTTGCATCTGACCCGGGCGCTAGCTTGTGCGACAGAAGATCATGGGTGAGCCAGTCGTTCATACGGGCGGTAGGCGTTCCGTCCATACAGCTGTGCTCTCCAATGAAGCCTGCCTCGCCGTCATCTCGCACGATCCACTGGAGCGGCTTATCGAAAAAGCGGTTCTTCCCATCGGAATGCAGCATCTGATGGCTCATTGCCACGATATCGTCACTCTTATTTTGGAAAGACGAGCCGGCGCATTCTTCGTCGAGCGCGATGACGAACGAAGCCCGTTCGATCTCGGCAAGCGTGGCAGAATTGCCCGGATCTTTCATGAGCTCTACTCTTGCGTCTGTCCAATTGTCGCGGTCCCAAGACGTCAAAGCACCTACGGGCGGCATCACTGCGGAGCGATCTGCTTCCTGGTAGACAGCTGCAAACGCTTTCTGCAGACCGGCAAGACCGGGTCTTTGGCCGTTTGCACTCAATGCAATCTTGTAGAACCGATTCCGACGAATGGCAATCAGATGCTGACCGCTCGGATCGTCCTCCCTGAGCTTGACGGCATAGTCTGCCGGCTTGGCAGGTATCCTGCAGGCATTGAACATCCATTTGTAGGATTCCATGCAGAGGGCAGCCTCGCCAGCTTTGTCAGGCTGGAGCTTGCCGCTCGTTATCTGATCGCAGAACTCGAGGGCTTTGAGTGCAATGGTAGCAGCAACATACGTCGGATCATTGGGCGCAGAGGCAGAGTCGCCTTGCGGCAGCTTCTTGAAGCCGAACGCGTAGCTGACGTTGATGACGACAGAGTCGCGATAGGCCATGTAAGCATTGGTGTCCCAGCTCTCTGCTATCCAGTTCCCTTCGCGCTGATCGCGCTCAGCAGCTCTCTCTCTGAGCTTCTCCTGCAGCTTGGGCCCCTCATTCGTCTCGAAGCTTTGGATCTTAGCGAGCGTCGTGTTGAGCTCGTCGTCTGTCCTTGCAAGTGCACGAACCGAAGCGCGCAGCTTGTTCAGTGTTGAGCTGAGCTCAGGCACAGGTAAGCACGGCAGAGCATCTTGCGAAGCCATCGTGTTGCTCTCCGCTGGAACGAGACAAGGAGGATTGAGTCGCCATGCTTGCCATGATGGCGCTTGTGCGGGTGCTGCTGCGAGCGTCGAAGCCATGCGTGTGAGTGTTGGTGAGCTGATGCGTGCAAAGCTATGTCTGAGCATCGCTCATCGTCAATCGTACTGACCCCACCAATGCAGCCCTCGTCGCAATCGGCTGAAAGGTCAACGAACCGCGCGACTGTTGTCATACGGTCAAGTCGATTGCCGGCGTATAACACAAGACGGAATCATGCATTGTGCTCCTCCAGATCGGTAGCGCCATCCGTGTAGCATCGATCTTCTTGCTGCACGGCATGGTCGACGAAGAAACATGGCGGTCCTTCGCTGCGTTGCTCGATGCAGGAGTCAAGGCTCTCTTTACCCCTCAGTCCTACTCCTATGCGTCTCATTCTCGAAAACAGAGATGCGAGCGAGCAAGAAGAACAGAGATTCGTGCGATGAGGATTTCAGCTACGATCTAGACTTGCTAGATGCGGAGATTGAGATGATCATCAAAGAACACGATGCCCTCGTCGAGGCGGTCAATGCGTTACGAGATCGACTGGCTCGACAAAAGTGGGGTGACCCTCTGGCCTGCGTTTGCGACCGCTCACGTTCCCTTGCTACGATCAGAGCCTGCCCATCGTGCTCGAGGCGATTCAAGAAACTTGCCGCCCTCAAGCAGAGAAAGGTGGCAAAGACGTGATCGCCTCTCACTGACCGCGCATAGACGCGCATCAGAGTCGGACAGAAGGCAGGAGCGCGCGCCCTCATCATCTAGCATTCCACATTGCAATGTCATCTGCGCTCTTGTCCCGCAAGCTCTACTCTCCGCTGATTTCATACGCCACAAGCGTGGATAACGCGATATGACAAGATGACACTCCGGCTGTCGCGCCGTGTCAACCTGAGCTCGAACGACACAGTGTCGACTCACCAGGTGGATCTGTACATGTTGGTGAAGCTTCGGCGCGCCGATCTGCGGTCCTCGTCAGGGGAGCACACGGTCGAGCAGACGTGACACACTCGGACTGCAGAAAGCTCGAACGAGGCTGGTGTCTGTCCACGAGCGATCAGCTCGATCACGGCCACAGCAGCAGTGCGATACCGTGGTCGTAGAACTCTGTTCATGTATCAGTCGGCTCAAAACAAAAGACGACTGGTGGCCCACCTTTCTCGAGATGAAGCCAGACGCGCGTATTGTACCTGACAATACAATCAGCCGGCTCTCTGGTGATGCAAGAATCAGACATACCAGATCTTACAGCAAGCTCTCGATCGATCTGTCCATGAATGTACAGGGGAAGTTGCCTCACTGCCTTTGGTCGTCAACGAGACCAAGACCCGGCTGAAGTCGCCATGTCGGATTTGCTGCCCCTTGACGGATAGGCCCGTCACATTGATGGGATTCATCTAAGCGATGCCATGTCAGCTGGGAAGCAGCGAGCAAGGTGGCACTTGCGAACCGAGCTTCCGGCAACGACGCAGCGCTCTCTTGGTAGACCGTCACTTCGACCGACGCGTTCTGGAGGTACATATCGCCAACACCCTTGCAATCGGCATAGACGCCCCCTGTCAACGGCTCTCGGAAATCAACGTCGACCTGTCGGATCGTAGCAGCGTAGGCGTACATTGGACACGATAGGTGCGCATGGCATAAGTATGCTTGGGGTCGTACTCGTAGTAGTACGAGTCATCTGCCAGGGCAAGCGCAGCACCAAATAGAATCAGCAACACGTAGATCATGCTGGACGGCAGACCAGGCCAGAACGAAAATGTCATGGAGGAACGTGTAGTGCAGGGAATGATAGGAGCCTGTTCGACGTTGTCAGCATGGTTACGAATCGGACATCACGTGTCACAGGCGACGAAATACGATCACGAAGAAACTCGCACGGTGCGCTTTCCGATCCGAACGACACGTACAGCAAGGCGCGACCCAAAGTTCGGCCGCTCAACTCGGCTCGACCAGCCCCGATTCGAGTTGGCGACCTCAAGACAATCTTCCTCAACGACTCGCCACGCAGAAGACGCTAGCCGCGGCGAGCGGTCTGGCTCGGACGTAGGATACCGTGTCTGTCGGTACAGAACCTCCCGTCTCGGATCGGTGTGTCAAGGCTCTGGGTGCCATGGACCGAGGACCATGCTTCCGAAGGCCGGTCACGCTCAATGACTGCTAGCCTGCTCGTGTGGGCTTAGCCAAAGCTTCGTGGACACGGACTGTCGATCTGGGCAAGCGAGCCGACATGTAAGACCGCCAGCAGGAAAAATCACATCAATAGCAGCGTTATTTTCGATCGTGCTCCTCGCCATCTGACTAGAACATCTTGCATATGACTTGGCCCGCTGCGTCTACTGTGCATGACATCGAGCCGAACGCGAGATGGATGGTTGCCTTTCAATTTTGGCGCAGAGATGAAGCGCTTCTTCGTGTGGCGAGACGAGGTGTGCATGCGATGGACTGCCTTCTGCTTCGCCTGCGACCACCGAGTAGCGAGCATGAGATCTGGTCTGGTCATGAGCCATGTTGGTACAGTTGAAGTCATGCCACCTGCAGCAGCGCCGCCCGTCGTCCCAGTCGAGCGCGCGCCGCCGTCACGAGCGTCACGCAAGCCCGAGCAGTCCGCGAGGTATGGCATGGAGACGGCCGAGGAGACCGAGCAAGCCCATGTCCGCGCCGTCATTGCTTCCCTCCGGCGTTACAGACCGGAAGCCTTGACGAGCAACAACAAGCGTCGATCAGATTTCTATCAGCTCTCACTCGCTCACCAGGATCTGCTCGGTCAACCGCACAAGGACCTCATCAAGGTGAGCCTGTGCAATAGCGATAAGCTGGTCTGACTCATGCTTGAGCGTGCAGAACATTGACGGATGCATACTTGCCAATGCACGGTTCCTTGCACTCGTAGCGGACACCGCGAGTGAAGGCATCTTTATCAGCGAGGGCGCGGCAGGCAGCGAAGAGCAGCAGGCAAGCCATGCTCACTCGCACAACCGAGAAGACGCTTCGAAAGTGAGAAGCACGCTCAAGCAATTTGCAAGAGAATGGAGCTCTGCAGGCGCGCGAGAACGGAGAGCGGTATACGATCCCATGCTCGAAGCGCTCGAAGCCCACTTTGTGCACACATCAGAGCCTACCCGCACCGGACTACATTGCTTGGTGCCCGGTGCTGGGCTGGGTCGACTCGTATGGGAAACAGCAAAACGTGGATTCAGTGCGCAAGGGAACGAGTTCTCTATGCTCATGCTGCTCGCATCAGACTATCTGCTCAACCAGTCAGTCGCAGCGATCGGGATGATGCTCATGCAAGACTGACAGACGGGTCAGCTCAGATGCGGTGGAACAGCATACCATCTATCCGTTTGCGCATAGTCTGAGCAACCTGCCAGCACGAACGACTGCTTTGCAGCCCGTCAGACTACCGGACGTCTTGCCAAGCGATCTGCCTCCTGTTGACTTTTCGATGACCGCTGGCGACTTTGTCGAGATCTACGGCACGGCCGAAGCACGAGGTATGCTTGCGCTGTACAGGCAGCCCAGACGTCGCTGATGAACACCAGGCCAATGGAACGCCATCCTGACGAGCTTCTTCATCGATACGGCGAGGAACGTCATCGAGTACCTCGAGACGATTCACAATCTGCTCGCCGACGATGGCATCTGGATCAACTGCGGTCCTCTGCTCTGGCATTTCGAACAAACGCCCGGGGAGACCTCGATCGAGATGCCACTGGACGATCTCAAGAGGATCATCACCTCGATCGGCTTCGATATGGCCAACGAGAGGATGATAGAGACGATGTACACTGATTCGGCAGATATGCTAATGCAGCACCGCTACACTGCCGCTTTCTGGACTTGCACCAAGCGGAGGACGAACTAGATCAGTGCAGCGCACATACTGGTGAGGCATCGTTCGCCCCGAGCTCTACTCTTCCCGGGATGGTATCGACGGACCGCCGTGTTGTCACCCCTTTGCATTGTTGTGTGCGCGCGCGCGTCTCGAGATGAAAGCAATTTGGCAAAAGTTCGAAGATGGACAACGTCGGCTTGGCGCTCGAGCGACTGCTGCCCGAGCTCCGAGACTTGGAGCAGCGCAAGCTCTTCACCAAGGTCTGCACTGCCAGCAATCTGAGCTCACAAGACTCACGGGTCTGTGCTGCAGAGGGAAATCAATGAAATTGTGCAAAGACGGACTCAATACGAGCGCAGGCTGATCAGAAGGACAACGAAGCCTTCAGACTATCTTGACTATATCGACTATGAGGCAAAACTCGATCAGCTGCGTCTCATGCGCTCGAGGCGTAGCAAGGGTGCGTCTACACGTCCACGCCGACGAGGATTTCTGACTTCTGTTCCGACCGAACAGGCAAAGAGCGGCAGCAGAGCTTGTCTGACTACTCTATCAAGCAACACTGTCTCAAGCTCTTCCAAGCGGCCACACGCAAGTTCCCGGCAGATCTGCCACTCTGGCGTGCCTACATCGACACCGCCATTGCTCACCAGTCGCCCAAACTCGTCTCACAAGTCCTTGGTGCAGCTATCTCCCTTCATCCCGCCCTTCCCGAATTCTGGATCATCGCCGCTCGGTGGGAATGGGACGGCGACGTACACGAGCAAGGCGGGGGCAATATCGAGGCTGCTAGGAAATTGCTACTTCGCGCTCTGAGGTTCAATAAGCATCAGGTCTCTGTCTGGTCGGAGTGGTGCAGGATAGAGATGGCCTATGCAGAACAGATGAGACAGAGATGGGACGTGCTCGGCATCGATGCTCTTGACAACGCCGAGCAATCTCACATCGACGTACCTGATCTATCGACCGACGCGACTCAAGATAGTATAAGACAGGAAGCCATGGGTCAAGAAGCGCTCGTCAAGGGTGAACTGCTCTCGCTCATCTTCGATCAGGCTTTCGCTGCATTCGAAGCAGAAGTCACTGCGCCTGTCTACCTCGCTCTGCGCGATCTCATCCGGTCATCGAATCTCGAATTGCGGGAAACGCTCATGAATGCACTGGACGAGCGCAGTTCTGCACTGGGTGACGCCGAGCCCATCGACAGTCTTGTCATGCGATGTTCGGCACCACTGTATGATCCGCTTGCCGACGATCCGGCAGATGACCTCATGGAAACGGACGAATCTGATGAGCAGGCTCTCGTCCGACCGTCCACGCAGATCACCGCAACAGGCATAGGGCTCGTCACCGCCCTGGGCAAAGCTATACAGAATTTCACAAGAGCATGCGCCATCGAATCGCCTGCTCGTGCTGCCAGACTAGATGCTTATGCACGTTGGCTGACTGGCATCTATGCCGAAATCAATGATGACGACTTGCGCAAATATCTCTGCACACAAGCTGCCAAGCTGATCAAGATGGACAGCAGTCCCACTGTCGAGGTCGTCCTCTGTGCGAGCCGACTCTACCTACAACAGAGTCAATACGGGCGATCGTTGACCAGCTTACATCTTGAGGATGCCCGACTGGCTGCGGATCCACGAATCTGGCTCACCTGGTTCGATGTCGTCCGCGCCCAGTCAGGCGACATGTCGGCGGCTATAAGACGCGCTCTCACACAACTGCCTGCCTCGCCCGAGATCTGGCAAGCCTGGGTGGACGATCTTGTCGAACAGCTTGACGAATCACCCGCATCGGTCTTGGCTGCCTGCCGCGAACAGCTCTTCAAAGCTAGCGATCTACAAATACGCGACTCCATCTTGCATCCGTTCTACGAGTCTCTCGTGCGATCACAGACCGCGAAAGAGCGTCGCCAGACTTATGCTGACTTGCATCGCGCTCTTTTGCCAACGTTGTCGCTCTACTCGATCGCGCTCAAGTTCGAGCAAGATCCTGCCAATCGTGTCTACTTGCACGAGAAGAGGACACAGCATGCAGATGCGACTGTGACAGAATGGTTCGACTATCTTGCCGAGCTTTACACCGTCCAGGGCGACGGAAAAGCAGCTTCACTCGTTCACGATCGTGCTCTCGCTGCACTGCAGGGTGCGCAGATAGAAGATTTAAACACAGCTTGGCAGATGCTGTTGGATCAGTGACGAGTTGCATGATGATACATACAGATAGAGCAAGCACAGCTAGAGAAATCTATTGACCTCTCCCTCTTCCTCCTCTGCCGCGTTGTGCTGCTCCCCCTCGTCCGCCTCGTGTACCTTGGACTGGTCCGGTCGGTCTCTTCCCTCTCGTACTTGCTCGTGCTCTGAATTCTGCCTCTTGCTCTTTGACCGTGTCGAGTACCTGCACAAGCGTTCAGCCAGAATTTTGGATTCGGTACGGCATCAAAGTCACATTGTCTGCCACTCGAACGTATTTGATCTGCTCGCACATAAGCTACAATTGAGGGTGACCAGACGCTCAGCGACGTGCCATGTGACCCTTGAGGTAACATTCTGGCAGTTTCCAGAACTGATCGCCATTCTGCTCCAGTTTATCAGCCCCGAGCTTTGCATACTTGACGAGCCTGTGGACGGACTGCAGAGGTCTGGTAGACTTCTTTGAGGGTGAGATTCATAAAGTTGTCTGCGCCTGACAGATGGCCGTTAAAAGTCTCGCCATTCTTGAGCTCTACGAGCTGCAATGGGCATCCACCCACGTCGTGAGCATCCTGAGCGGAGGATTCAGGTGAGAGTCTGACTTGCCATAGGTTTCCCTAGCGCTGCTTGAAGTAGCGAGTCCGGAAGCTGCACTTCTGTGTCAACTGCGCATGACAAGCAGTGTGATAACTCGCTTACCATCTTAACGATCGCTGGGTAGTCAGCTCAAGTCAGAGGAAGCGAGGGACGCGACTCGATTTGGCTCAATTGCTCGGGCGCTGGACGCTCACTCACTAGAGTAGTCCACAAGCAGTACAAAGGACTACACCACACCAATTGCAATGCTGTAGCCTTTCCGGTCACATGAGCCGATTGATTCGATGAGCTTTCCGTCAGATGTTTGCTTGCCCTATGCATCAAGCAGAGTGGTCTCGACCTGTTCGGGACAGATTAGCAAAGCATACAGTATCATTAGAAGAGTGGCATACCATGATGCCAGTGACACGGTAGGGGTCAATGTTGGAAGCCGGTCGGCGATCTTCGAGGTATCCACAGCCAGCCTGTTCTACGTTACGTGGGATACGGATCGAAGCGCCACGGTTCGACACGCCGCTCGAGAAGGTCGAGATGTGGCCGGTCTCATGGCGTCCGGTCAGACGGAGAGCATTGTCATCACCGTAGACGGCAATGTGTTCCATGTGTCGCTTGCCGAGCTTGGCGATGTATTCGTGGATGGCCTTGATGCCACCTTCGGCCCGGGTGGCATTGGTTGAGAAGTTGGTATGAGCGCCAGCACCGTTCCAGTCGCCCTTGAGAGGCTTGGGGTGGAGCGAGACGCGAATGCCATAGTCTTCGCAGACACGCTCGAGGAGGAAGCGCGCCATGACGAGCTCATCGCCCATCGCGATACCGGGGCATGGGCCAACTTGGAATTCCCTGCGTAACCCATCTGAGCATCAAAGTCGGAGCACGCTGTGACTGCATACCATTGCGAGGGCATGACCTCGGCATTGATGCCTGAGATGGTGACGCCAGCATAGAGACAGGCGCGGTAGTGAGCCTCGACGACATCACGGGCAAAGACCTTGCCGGCGCCGACACCACAGTAGTAAGGACCCTGTGGGCCAGGGAAACCACCCTTGGGCCAGCCGTATGGCTGTCCTTCGTTATTCTGAGCGTACAGCGGACAGTCAGCCTGGTCCAATGAACTTGGTTGTCTTTACGTACGAAGAGTGTGTACTCTTGCTCAATACCGAACCAGGGATCCTCTGCGTTGTAGTGTGAGACGGGCCAAGATATAAGATGAGCTTGTAACGTACGGTCCTTGCAGGCGTCCATGGACTTCTTGCAGTGGTAGCGGAAGTTCGTCTTGTTGGGCGATCCGTCGGGGTTGTAGGTCTCGGCGAGGACGAGGATGTTATCGCCTCCGCGGAAAGGATCCTTATAGATCGCAGCGGGACGAAGGAAGATGTCAGAGTCGTGACCGGCGGCTTGATTAGTGGAGGAGCCGTCGAAGTTCCACTCCTTGAGGTCGGCGAGCGACTTCACCTTCTTGTCGAGCGTCTGTGTGACATACGAGCGATGAGCTTACTGCTGCTCACAGTGGACCTTGAGACGTACGGTAGTCTTGCAGCGCAGGCCACCATCACCGTCAATCCAGACATATTCTGCCTGGACTTTGTCACCCTGAGGCAGTTCCATGTACTTCTTGGACCTGAAGGGTATTTCCGTGATCAGTGCGCATACAGAGCAAAGTCAGGTAACACGTACAGAGCCGGGTGGTTTGTATAGGGATCAAGCGACATGTTGGCTGTTTACTGCGCACGAGAAGGAGAGTCAGCTGTCTGACCACGCTCGGCATCACAGAGGAGTGAGATGTCGCCAGCGGAGACAGGCTGGGTCACAAACAGATGATGGCTGATTATCGCCCGACATTGCGCTGAAATATTGAGGGGACGGTAAAAGGGCAAGCAGGCAAACGGCGAGGGTAAGCAGCATTTGCAAGCAGGATGCTGTCGTACACAGCTCGTCGATGGATGCGATGACCGAGAAAGAGGCCGGGAAGAAGATGCTACACACTTTGTAAATCGCTATCTCTGCTGATAGTCGGTAAAACGCGGCTTCAATGCGTGAAAGCGAAGCGTCGATTTGCTGCAGGCCCGAAGAGCACAAGAGCAACGCGATGTCAGTCTTCTGCACTCGGCTGGTCATCTGACCGAAGCACGGCTTACTGACCTGTTTGCTCTGCTTGTCAAGTTGGAATAAAAGAGCGCTGCCTGCGATAGGCCGGATTGTGGGAGACACCGCCACCTGGCCGGTTGCCACGTTTCATTCGCGAATCCTCCGCAACAGAAATATATTTGCAACAAACATGCTACGTGGAAGGCGGAGGCGCCTGTACATTCTTTCCCTTCAGCTCTGCTACGATCTTGGCTACAGGACTGGCTTGATCGCGTCTCGTCTTGTCGTAGATCTTCAGGGCCTTGGGCATGTGCTTTTGCAAATTCTGTTTCGTAGATTAGCAGCGCTACAATGGCTCGGTCTAGCACCTACTTGAAGTCGCTTCTCTTCAGAAGGATGCGTACGAAGCCAAGGTGCTCGATCGATCATCGCCTTGACTTCTTCGGGTCGCTCGAGGAATAGAGCCTTGACATCGTCAATGTCCTTGATGCCAAGCGACTGACGCGCGTCCGCTTCCATCTCGGCCAATATCGCCCATAGATCTGTCGCCGCACGAGGATCGTAACCGGCTTTGGCCATGACACTGATGCCTATCGCATCTGCTTCGGCTTCGAGCTTGCGAGAATACGCACGCTGCGTGACGATATTGTCGCAATAATTGAACGCGCTGGCCAGGGCATCAGACACCACTGCGTCGGACGATCAGCGACTATGCCCATGATGATGTTACCATAGACGCACGAGGAAAAGACATGGTGAGAGCCCAAGAGACGCCTCGAAGGACGTCGAAGATGACAGAAGTCAATGCGTAGACGCCCATATTTTCGACCGAATGTCGCTCGAGCACATGCGAGATCTCGTGTGACAGCACCGCCGCAAGCAGCTCTTCGTCGCCTTCGAGCAAATCAATCAGGCCTGCGCTATGTCAACTTTGTCTCCACGATAGAGACAAGGAACGGACCAGTGTAGACAAAGATCTCCTTAGTCGGCAAAACGTGCGCATTGACTTTATTCATCTCGCTATCGCCTGACTTTAGCAGGGTGAAGTTAGCAGGAAGCGGAGACATACATGACAAAGATCTCCCAGTCACGCCCATCAAGCAGCTTCTCCGGGTTGCTTGTCTCTGGCTTGAAAGGCATTCCTGCACCCGAGCTCTTGGCTGATGGGCTGATCTTCGTCCTCGCCTCAAATTTACGGATTCGCTCTGTTATTTGCTCAATGTCGCGTGGCCAAGCGGCCGCAGAGATGGGCAAATCGTCCTCGAGGACAGTGATGAGCCGATCGCAGATCCTCTTGATGAGCGCAACCCGTTCGTCATCCGCTTTCAAGACGAGCAAGCCTTCCTCGATGATATTTTCGAATCTGCTCAATCCTTCAGAGTAAGTACGCGGAGCTCGGGAGTGCCTGCCTTGACTGTGACCATTCCATTTCCTCCCGTTCGCTCATGAGCAACAGTCGCCAGCGATTGGTTATCGGACTCTGGTCCATCCCAATCGCAAGGACAAGACACATTGCGAAGAGCTGTGCGACCATAAGATTCGTCTTGGCATATGCGTCATACTCACAGGCGCTTGCCATAACCGCCTGGATGCTTTTGGGAATCGCTTGAACAGTCGCCATCTGCCCTGCTGATAAGCTGTGGCTAGCATTCTGCCGGGTGTGAGATCGTACCTGTACCAGAAGGGCAGAATGAGGAGAGCCGTACGCGTGAGGCCGAGCAAGACGGATTTGAAAGCGGGTATGGAGACGAAGAAGATATCCTTGCGTTGGGGCGTAGAATGGAAGGTCCTGACGGCAGGGCGGGTATATCTACTCGGTCTTGCCAGTCGTATGTTGCCGACTCGTGCAGAGATTGTGTATAGACTGCTGCATTGCGTAGAGACAGCCGACGAGGGTCGAGTCCGTCTCGAAAGCTCTCTGAGCATGCGTCGGTTCGACTGACTACTGCTCGGCGGACTTGCACGTGTCTTGAGGAGTGCAGAGCCTAGTATGTGCGTTTCATGGCTTGGGAAACAAGCAGTAGACGAGCATGTCGATGCAAGTGACGTCGATTGGCTGCCCCAGTGCCTTCTTGAGGCCACTTTGGGCTGACTGAGTGCCTGAATACCGCCGATCGATACTTCATACCGCTGCACATGTTTGGCTAGGCGACATAATGGCTGCAGGGTTGTCATGCGCAGGCTGTTGGGCGTTGGCAGGCTCGGCACTATGTCGATTCAAATCTATATTCAAGGTGCTAGAGAAGTCATCAACGCACACGAAGTCGAGAGCAAGTCGAACAGCGCCTCAGGGACGCCGCCAATCGCTGTGACTTGATCAGTCCATATCACACGACTACGGCTGGACTTCTGCTTCCCGGCTGAGCAAGGTCGCACCTCTGCAGAAGCCACCATCGCGGTGCTACACGCGCCGTTGCTCGGCCTTTGAGGTCGGATCGAGTGCGCACCTCTTGACGCACAGATTGTCGTGTTATCGTCAACATACACCAGTAACAAGATGGGTGGTTGATTCAGCACCTTCCGCAACGAGATAGCTTGGCATTTTGCCTCGCGGGGAAAAGGAGACCATGCCCAGCAAATCTCACGGTCAGCTCAATGGCACGCTACCTTCAACCGACCCTGCAAACGGCAAACGTAGAGCGACCTCTGGATCATCGTCGGCTGGCAAAGCAAAGGTCGCCTCTGCAGGCACAAACGCGCAATCTGCTTCTGCGCAAACGGCTTCAGACATCATGACCAATGCGGAAGTGCAGATGGCACAAGTCGACCTCATCGAAGAGATCCTAGGCCCTGACATGGTCGACAAGATGATGAACGGTGGCATCACGTTTGACGATGTGATGCGGCTCACACGGGATCTCAATTCCCTTCAACCTGATGATCCAGGTATGCGCTCGCAGTACGCATACGAAGGATGATTGTGACTCATGAGCCTTGCATAGCGCGAATGGCCGCTGATGCTATCAGGGAGTCCGGATGTGCTCCTGCAGCTTATGACGCAGTGCTCCCTATCAGCAAGCCGGCGCATGCGATGACTTCGGCAACTACCAAATTACGATCAGCCGAGCCTGCTGTTGCCGCTGTCAAACTTGACAGAAGCAATGCGCACGTCAGGTCTACTGACGAGAACAAAGTAGCACTCGCTGTAAAAGCACCGCTCATGAAATCACCGCCAGCAAAGGCGCGTGCACTACCTCGGAACGCACATGGCGACGAGCAACGCGCTATGGCAAAATCAGCAGTCGATCGGGTCGTCAAGTCGCTTTCATCTCAAGGCGGATCGCTTGATGGTCTCAAGGAGTTTTATCTGTCAAACCCTGATCTTCTCGACGAGTTACTGCATTTGGACCAAAATAGTCATGCTTCTCGAGCGGCGAAGCCGTCATCTCAGAGCAAGGCGAATGGCTTGAAGCCCACAGCGACTGCTTTGCCACTGAGCCGAGACAGTTCAAACCTTCCCGCGACGAGCAAGGTTGTCTCGAACACTACGTCCACAACTCGCTCGGATGGTACGATCATGTCGCTCACAACTACCATCAGCGACGAAGGCGTCACCATCACGGGCGATGGCGTGATGGCTACTTCCGAAGCCACGGCAGCCCTGGCGACTTTAGCGAAAGAACTCGTTGCAAGCGGCGCAATGGGCCCAGCGCACCTTGCACCAACGCCAGCACTCTTTCTCGAGGAAGCTCGACGCGCCCAGCTGGATATCGTGGATGCTACTGCTACTAAGAAGACACAGACATCAGCAAGTGCGCCTGCAGCGAAAGCAAAGCCCTGCTTGGTAGTCTCAGCGCCGTCGCAGAGCTTGTTGAAGGCGAATGGCCATACATCCAACGGCGCCACTCGCAGGATACCCTCTCCATCGCTTACAAGCAGGGAGCAGATGAATGGTAAAAAGTCGAGCATCGTCACGAGCTCCTCACTGCCTATGTCGAAGACTGCTTCTGCCTCTCCGACCTACTCAGCTCTGTCTACCGTGCAAATTCCGGTCACTAAGCGACCGCCATCACCGCCGAAAGATGCAATGGCTACAAAGAACAAGCCTCCGTCAAAGCCGCCCATCTTTCGAACGACGTCCGGCAAGCATCCGCCAGGTTGCAGATGCCACGAGTATCGCGCTAATCCAGCTACGATGGAGGAGATCGACGGCATCCTCAGCAAGATCTTTCTCGAACGATTTAAACAGGATGCTTGCAGGCTATACGCGACTCGCATCGAGCGCGTCGCTCGAAGCAAACTGCCTCGTCTTATAGAGAAGCTGCTGGCTCTGTGCGGTCCAGGCTGGATCGCAGCCAATGCGTATACGTCCGAAATCCAAGAATACTATCGCACGCATATTCTAGCAGATTTGCGCGAGCTCGACGACCGAATATGGACAAACAGCGCCGAATGGGTGTATACTGCGGTTCGACGGAGGGTCATCTCAGCAGGGTTTCTCATACCCTATGATGGCTTAGCGCCTGCAGATCTACCGGCTATCATGCCTTCCCTTCGCGCTATGCTCAAACAGATCGAGGCTTGCCCAAAACCAGTCTGCGGGTCATTGCCTCAATTTCCGCCTGTCAAGCTAGATCAAACAACTTTGATGCGCTTCGCGCAAAGTAAAGCCAAATTAGCCAAGAACGATCCTGCGTGGCGGAATTGGCGAGCCAAGCTCGAATTGGGACTGGCGCGTATGATCGACTCTCTCTGGGAGACTGTCGGTGAATTCGACGTCCCTACATTCGGTCAAGGCGTTACAATGGCATTTCAGACCAGAAATGCCGGTATTAAGGGCTGGGAGACGACTCAGCGTTTCGAGTCCATCATTTTTGAGTATGTGACCTTTCCCGCCTGCGAGGTGAGCCATCTGACGTCGAAATGCAGGGAGGAAGAAGAGCGTGCCGAACGAGAACTCGCAACAGGCGCAAAGCGATCCGGCAAGCGGAGGGCAGACGAAGGCGGCGATGGACGAGGAGCAGGGGTATCAGGCTGGGACACGATAGATGAAGAAGACCTTTGGGAGCGAAGGCTCGAAGGCGTCCACCAAGCCCAGCTGCCAACGCCGGCCAAAAATCCTGCAGACGTCAGCTTACCTGCAGAGGACCACATGTCGATCGGCGAGCGTTCGGTTTACCGTTTATTTCTCGCAGAAGCGGACAAGGACGAGGGCAATAAGGCTTATCGACGCGGTGATTACGCTGGTGCTGCGGGTTTCTACAGCGCTGCCCACACCGCAGAGAATCGATTACCAGTATACCTTCTCAACCGGTAGGTCGCGCGCAGAAAGCCATCTCCGCGTCAATCTGACATGTGTGCAGTGCGATGGCATATCTTAAACTCGAGCTCTTCGAGGAAGCCGAGGAAGATTGCAATTCTGCGCTTTTACGGCATCCGGCCAATGCGAAAGGCCTCTGGCGACGTGCAAAGGCGCGACGCGGATTATCGCAGCAACAAGGTCGCATTGACAAGCTCATCGGAGCTGAGCGAGGTGCGTTGGCTCCAGCATGCTTCTCTTCCCGAGCCGCAGTTGAACACGGTGCACAGACGTGCTCGCTTTCCTCAAACTCAAGCCAGATTCATCGGAAGGCCAGATAGAACTTCTCGAGATACGCGCAGAGCTGTTCGACTGGCAAGGCATGGGCCCACCTGTTCGCAATACCGACAATGTGTACATGTCGACGTCAGCGGCGATCCATTTTGAGGACGATGATAAACGATGTGAAACCCAATGGGAGCTCACAGAGAGCGAGAGGCGACAGATCCGAATCGAGCCTGACAGCCGATATCCCCAGTGGCTGTCCTTCACCGTCCGCCGGGTTTTGAATCCAGACGAAGACCCTCAGTCGAGCGGCGAGCCTTACGAAGTCACTTCAAAGGCCAATTCGTCATTGTTGACCAGCATGTAGTGAAGTGCGAAAGCATCCGCATCACTGTACTCGTGTATAAAGATGCATGTCGTGGTGTGTTTGTACATCGTTATAAGCTTATTACGGTTGCCAACAACACGATTGCGTGGATTGATCATTTATGCGGACGCCACTCCAATTCATCTATCGTAGCGAGTAAGCATGCGCTGAAACTTGAACAACCAAACGTACTCATCAACATGAAAGACTCGTAGTCGACCTCTGAGCCGTCGTATGCAGGCTCAAAGGTCATGACACTACGATAGCCTCGAAAGGCGCTACGCCAGTAGCAGCTGCGTGCTGCATCGCTGAAGTAACGACGAGTGAAGACTTTCTCGGCATTCTTTGCGATCATTTCGGAGCGGACCGGGTCGCTCATAAGCTTCTTCATTGTTTCGACGATATCATTGTAGCCATCTTTTGTGTAGGCAATGTTCTGGTCTGGAGAGGATTCGTTGCCATTGAGGGCAGGGTGAAAGTGCTGCTGCCACCTCAATGGATGGGATACCACTGTCGACTGCGTGCTGAGCAAGTATTTGAGACGACCCGAGTAAGCGTCGCCACCCTCAGTGGCTGCAACATATGCGAAGCGCGAATGATGACTCATGCTCACTCGAGTCTCCTCCGGTCTGCCCCAATCGACGGCAGCAATGTCTGCCCAAGACTCATTGACGGTGTGATCTCTGAGCTGTTCGCGATATTCGGACAGATAGACGCCACGCCAAAAGAGTTTCTTTGCCTTTTGACGCCATGTCATCTGGGCGTTGACAGATTTGACATCTGCCAAGAACGTGTGCCAACCCTTGATCATGGGCTCCGGCCAAGCGTTGAAGCCATAGTCGATGACCAGCCAGGCAGGCAAGTCGAGCCGGCGAGCCAGACCCCAAGTGGCAGGCTCGAACGGAGCGGTGTCGTCCAAGCCGATGACGAACTCGATATCTGGCACCGGCTCGAGCGAAGTGATGATGGCGTCGTGAATTGCGGCCATGACTGCCTGACATCGCGACTGATATGCAGGCCTGAAGCGTTTGACGAACAAGCGACCATCCTTGATCATGAGACGCGCGTGCCAGATCTCGCCTGAATGCTCGACATCGCTCAATGTGACACCACCGAGCGATTTGGTCCATTCGACAGCCTGCTTGATTTCGGGCAGATTGAGAGGGAATGCCATGAGGCACTCTCGCTCTTTCATTGATCTTTGAGCGAGAATCTCATCACTCAGACTGATGTTCCAGCCAAGATCTTCTCCAGATAGCTTGAGATCATTTCCCGATGTGGGGTTGTATCCCCTGAGACGACTAGGTCGCTCGAAGCGGTAGCCAGCTGTAAGGGCGAGGATGAGCAAAAGCAGCAAAATGGCTCCCAGGATTGCGCTTGCGATGACTGCAACGGATGGCAGACGTGCGCGCTTCTGGCCAGCGAGCCAAGGAGGCATCCCTTTGCCCGACAGCAGACCCTCATCTTCCGCCACTTCCTCACCGTACTCGAATGAGCTTCGAATAGGTAGCTTTTGCGGCTCGGCTGAGGTCGGCTCGATCTGTATGGACGTACTCGCCTCGCTTTCGGACGCTGGGAGCATATAGCTATCGTCTAGGCTCGGCTTCGACTCGAGAGCAGACATCGGGACAGGTTGTAGGTCATTTTCTAGGGCAGAGACCGGTGTGACCCCGCTGCGCCGCAGAACATTTCGCTGTTCCACGAATTTGACGCGCTGACGTATGTCAACATGTCAACTGATTTTCAGAGCTAGAACGAGTCTAGGAACAACAACGTTAGACTGGCGCCCAGCAGAAAGATGAGTAGCCATATGCGGGACTCTCTATTACGCTCCTTGGCTTTTTGGAGCTGTTTGTTGCCTTGCTCGACACGATCAGAGACGATGATGGCATCTTCGTACAGTCGGTCTGTCAGCTCGGACTGCTGGGTCAGATGGACGACGAGTTCGGATTGTAGTGCAGATATCTCGAGCAGCGAGGACTCGGCATGTCGCAGCGAGGCTAGCTGATCCTGAGTTGCTCGCAACATGTTGGATGCCTCGGATTCGAAAAGCTGGATTTGCTCTTGCGTGAGCAGCTGATCGATGTCTTCCTCCTCGTCTTCCTCCTCTAGCAAGCCTTGAACAGTGCCTGATTTGACTGGCGCGTACATTGCAGGGACGCCGTTGGCATCGCTAGACAACACCGGGGCGGGCGCGGCATCGCGTTGTTTGCCAGCTCGCCAGTCGGATTGCGATTGAGAGGCCATCTTCTCGCCTAAGACTGCCAATCCGGCAGGTGAGAGACCAAGACCAGAAGCCGCAGAGCGCTCAAGTGAGCGCTTGATGCGCGCTTCCTGCTGATTCTTCTGCAGGGTCGAGACATGAGTGAGGCGTTTGTTAAGAAAGAGCGTGATGGCCGCGCGGTGCGCAGCCAACTGTTCTTTGGCTTGCGTGGCGCCTTTCGCTCGCCAGCCAGGCATTCCTTGCTTGCTTTCATTCGTCTTCCTCACTGCTAGCCTTGTCAGATCTACCGCGTGCCACGGAGTGTGTCACACTGACGCGCTTCTGCATTCTCGAGCTCCCTGATCTGCTCGCGGCAAGTCTTCAGGCTGAGCTGTGTTTGGTAGTCTATCTCGTCCCGCTCTCGGTCAGAGAGATGCTTGACGCTGTCCCAGGTAGCGTTCGGTCGCTTGGGATCGAAGGAGCGGCTCGTTGAGCTGCTCGCAACGGCCGAGTGCGACTGTGACAGGTCTAAATAGGCACGTCTGATGCCGGCAAGAAAGGCAATGAGATCTTTGAGCTGTGCAGCCTGTCGCATTGATCAAAGTATCACTTCAGCTCTCAATACGTTGGCAATAGCAGGTTCAGCTGACGATGCGAGTGGCTTCTCGAGTCCAAACATCTTCGACCTCTGCCTTTTGCTTCCCCTTGCTTGCTACTGCTCCCTGTCTGGCCTTCACGCACTCTCTGAACTCGCGAGAGCGGTCCATTGGCACGCCTCCAGACGGTCGACGTGTCGCGAGTGGAAAGAAAGGGCGAAGTTGCCAATTTGAAGTGATCGAACTTCGGGAAAAGCGCAAAGCTGTTTATCTCGAGCGCAGACACCGAGCCGGTCTGCCATCGGAGCGTGATTGTGGACCGAAGGGGCGAGTAGGCAAGAGCGTCAGCAAGCAGTCAGGTCGTAGAGGTGGGGCGTCGTGAGCGGGTTGGCAGCAGCTCGGGCAGAGGTGCGCGCGTGCCGGAGGAACAACAGGTAGAGACAGACCAGGCATCGCCTCCGCAGCAGCTCCTTCCTCGACAGCAGGACTGCCGACAGTGAGATAGGCCGAGGACCCCCGCCTACAATCGATCATCAGACGAGAGCTGCGTCACTGATTGGACTCGGCGGGCTCAAAACCGACGAGCCAACGCCCTTTTTGAAGCATATTGGCATACACAACGGGATAACATCAGCAAGCTCTCTTGAAGTCCGCCAGACGCGGCTTGCATAGCTCGTAGTGGCAGCTCCAGTGTCTTTGTGGACCGTGTCTGTGCCCAATAAATTTGTCAGCAACATGTCGAACCAATAATCTCGCAGTGCAGCCAACGGTCAACATACACTATCGCCCATCTGCAATAGCATACAGCAGCCAAGCATGGCCAGGAAAGCATCGACGATCTTGCTCACCTTGCTCGGCCTGTTCCTGCTCGGCACAGTCATCGTGCTATCGACAGTCAAAGTCTACTTTGGTGTCGATTCCAGAGATGTCATCACTATCGAAGAGATCAACCTATACGCGTCACTCGACACAAAGCTCTACAACTCAACCTTGAGGCTCAACGATGGCGATGGAGACGATCTTTACGAGAAAGTGCCGAGAATCATCCATCAGACATGGAAAACCGATATTCTGCCAGAGCGCTGGCAGGCAGTCCGGGACGAATGCGCTGCTATGCATCCAGACTAGTCCGTCCACCGGGCTTGCGTGGTAGACAAATCTGACAAAGAGATCACAGTGAGTATCGACTGTGGAGTGACGAAGCATCGCGCGAGTTCATACAAGAGCGTTATGCTTGGTTCCTGCCCGTTTTTGACGGATACCAATATCCCATCCAACGCGCTGATGCCATTGTAAGCCGCACTTTGCATTGGCGAGCGGCGCATTCTCACTTGCGAGCAGAGATACTTCGTGCTCGATCACTTTGGCGGCATCTACATGGACCTTGACGTAGGCTGCAAACGCAGGTTGGACCCGCTCCTCAACTTCGACGTCGTTCTTGCTCGCACCATCCCCGTCGGCGTGTCGAACGACGTCATGGTCGCCGCGCCTCATCACCCCTTCATGGAAATGGTCACCCGCAATCTTGTCACATTCGATCATTCGTATGGATCAAACTATCCGACCGTCATGTTCAGTACGGGGCCCATGTTCCTGTCTGCCCAATATGGTCTCTGGCCTGCCAATCCCATCACTGGCGCTAGAGAGATCAGGATATTGCCCAAATCGCTTTACGGCAAGAACGCAAAGCCAGAAGAAGCCCTCCATGCTTTCTTTACGCACTATTATGGCTCGAGCTGGCACGACGGTGACTCTGGCTTCATTCTCTTCGTAAGCACATAGGGTCTTGATGCGATTGAAAGCTGACAAGCATGTGCAGCTCGGCAAGCGAGGCAAGCTGCTAATGCGGCTGGGCATGATCATTCTCGCTCTTGGTGTTGCCAGGCTTGCGTACAAGAAGCGTGACGCGATACAGGGTCTATGGCAGCGCAAGACTGCGTCTCTCCTGTCCTCACCAGAGCTCGACGGGGATAGGATGCCGCTGCCTGCTATAGCACTCAGCAGACGGACCTCGGCTCGATCGTCAGACGAGCTCATGCAATCTCCGGCAAAGCGGAAAGTAGACTCACTCGGCGCCGCTGGCACGTCCGGTAGGCTGTACTACCTGCCGGTCTGGCTCGCTGGCGAACGTCAGCCGGGTGTATCGACTGAATCTGGGGTCAGCTGGCTGTCTTATCTGCCAGACCGGCTTGCTTCGCTTTTGCCGGGCAGCAGTCTATATGAGCCGCTGCAAGCTCATGAGAGCGAGGATAATGCGATCTCACTCAAATCGCTTCGAAGGGTACGATCGGGCCGGCCGAGAAGTCATACGCAACGCGACGCCATGGAGCAAGGCGCCAGCGCGACTGGCACGTTTCGCAGCGCGGGTCCGCCCGCGCCGCGCTCAGAGTCTCACTCTGACTCAACGTCAACAAATGCAGAAAAGGACGACGGACCCACTGGCCAGTCCAGCACCAGCATCGGACTTGTTCGGACGCATTCACGACCTAGATCACGTCGAGCTAGCTACGGCTCAAGACGGCATCAGGAACTCCAGCATTCCTTCAACCTCGCAGACGAGGACGACTTCATCCCTCGTGAGGACAGCCAGCGGCAGCATAGTCCAGGCTACAGGACCAGAGAGCGACACGACCCTCCCGCTTACTCGTCAACTCCGGAACCGCGCTTCGAACGCATTGCTTCGTGGCGAAGAGCGTCCCTGATCCTGCCCATCGTCCTTGTGCCTGCTTCAGCATCGGAAGGCTCGGCAATATCAACCTCGCCAGAACTGGAAGCGAGCGATCCGGACGCCGATTCTCTGGCGACGGACAGCACGACCGATAGCGTCACGGATGAAGTCGATCGTCTATTGAGCGAGATGGCACCGCCCGTGACGTCGCGCAATGTCGAGTCTCAATAGTCTACCTACCACACGCATCATCATGTCTAGCATCCTGTAATGTTCTGCATACGTTCCCTGGCTGCTCTCGTGAAGGTCTTGCCTGCCGCCCTGCCGGTGATCCGTCGCGTTCATGGATTTTCGAAAGCGGCACGGTCATTCGGCCAGTGATGAGTCGACGGCGTGCAAGTGACGACGAGTGGGACGGCTTACCGGTCTGGGGACCAACAACGAGATCAAAGAAGCGGCTCGTGTTTGTGAAAGCGACGGGTGTGCATCTGCGCACTGTTGAGCCAGCAGCAAGAGCCGCAGATGAAGAGGATTCAGCTTCGTTCTACAAGCGTATCACGACAGAGCGAGCAGTCAGTCCTGACTTCATGGAGATACCTGCACCGGAGCAGCTCAACCGATGCACAGTCTGCGCCGTCACATATCCTCGTGGCCGCGCAGACGAGCATCACAGATCATTGGCGCACCTGATTGCCGCTGATCCCTCGTCCATCACACCCTCGACGCAGTATGGTCTCAAATCTACCAACCTGGGCTGGCAAGCGCTTCAGCAGCAAGGTTGGCAAGAAGGTCGTCCGCTGGGCAGGGACGGATCGGGGCTCAAAGTGCCCATTCGCCCTTCCGTCAAACGAGACCGCAGCGGGATCGGGATGGAGCAAAAGAAGGAGCGCTTGGCTGACAGGCAGTATGTCATCAAGTCTACAAAACCTGTAGAGCCTATACTGCCGGCGCGACCATTGACTGCAAAGGAGATACAACGACAAAAGAAGGCGGAAACGGACCAGTGGAAAGCAGTCTATGCTGATCTGAACGCTTGATCGATCACAATGGCAGCCATGTGGCTTCGTCAGCATTGGTAGTCTGTCGCGACTGCTTCTCTGCCAAATCGATGCCGTCGAATTGCACCGGATGGCGCAAAAAGCTAACTCGCTCTTCCAAGCCAGCAATCAACCCCTCCCGTCTGAGCTGTTCGTATGAGGGCGGCTCCCGGACGAATGCAGTTGGCGACAGGTCTCTTGATAAGCCGCGAAGATATTCGGCGACTTCGACAAGCGATGTCTTGACTCGCCAAGCGCCACCGACTAATGCTCGTTGTCGCAATGCAGCACAGACTCCGGCAGCGAGCATATAGCCTGCGGCATGGTCCAGTGCTTGTGCTGGCAGTTCCTTCGGGCGATCTGATACTTCGCAGTCGGTCGCATCGTTATGAGCATCGCGTTCGGAAGCGTTCAGTCCCGTCGCAGTTTGCACTAGGCTATCGAATCCTCGCCTCTTTGCCCACGGTCCTACGTCACCCCATGCAGTCAGGGTAGCGTAGACGATGTCGGGCTTCAGCGCGAGGATGTCGCTTTCGCCCAAGCCGAGCTTGATCAGACTGTCAGGCCGGTAAGCTTGCACGAAGACGTCGGCCTCTTGTATCAGTCTGTTCAACTTCTCAGCATCTTTTGGCGAGCGCAAGTCGAGTCTGCTTGCGTCAGCTTGGATATGTGTTCTTCGAGGGCAACACACTGCGTCGTACGCTTGCCGCGTGACGTGTCGCGATCCAAGTCGGGCAGCAAAGGCAGATGCGGCGCAGTCACCCAGAGCACATCGGCGCCGTACGTCGCGAGCGTGCGACAAGCTACCGGCGCTGCAATCACACGCGATAGATCGAGGACTCGGACACCACGCAGGGGCAAAGTTTGCGACCCGAGAGGCTTCAATGGACGAGGTGGCAAGGCTGCAATCCGTTCGAAGTGTAGAGGGCCATCAACGATGGCAGCGATTGCTTTGCCTTGCTCCGTGCGCTCCCAAGCGGTCTGCGTGCGGAAATAAGCGACGCAAAGATGGCTCAGCATCGCAATTTCCGTCCAGTCTTCGCCGTCGACCCCTGCCAGAGCATCCTGCACGTCGTCTCGCGTTGCTTCGTCACCAAGGCGCAACAGCTTCAACAGACCTGCCTTGTGATGCGGGAAATTGGTATGTAGGCGCACATAGCCATCTCTTGTGCGATACAAACCCGCAATGCTGTCCCACGCAAATGACTTAGCGCCGACTTCTCGAACATACTTCTCGGAATTGAACTGCCCGCAAGCTATCACTCGTGCGCGGTTAGCTTTGATGGAAACACGTACTGCTAATGCGGCGTGCCTTGAGTCCAATCGGATCCGTTTTGGGGCATCTGATGACCGCAGCCGATGGACCGAATGAGCTGCGAGACCTGCGAGCGCTATCGTATCCCGGGCAAGCTCATCAACGGCAAATGATGATGGCAGCGTCCGTCCGGACTCGCGGATCTCCAACAGCTCGTGCGCATTGTCTGGTAGTCTGAGCAGCTTGCAAAATTGCGGCAGATCCATGCCTTATCAACTCTTCGACTGCAAAGCCCGCCGAAACGCGCAAGAACCCAGACACGGCTGCTCGGTCTTGGTCAGGTCAGGATCCTTGTACGGGCCCGCAAAAAAATCAGTTTGCATATGCTGTATCCTCAAGTTTTCGGACGGAACGCTCTTATAGTCCAAGGAGCAAGGGACAAGCGAGCTCTGCAACAGCTCCTATTCGGCGTTAGCTAGTCGGCCGCTGTTACAGAAGTCCTAATGGCGCAGGGACACGATTCGAGCGTCCAGTGGCAATGTTCAGTCTGATCGCCCATTGCCAAACGCGCGAGCTGGCAATTATCCAAGACGCCCAATGCGATGCCTCGCTCTGTTTGAGATCCAGATCCATCAAGATCGCTCGAACTTTTGTTACGTTTCCGTCAGAGCGACGTTTGATGCAAGACGCGCGTCCGAACAAAACATGCTATCACATGCAAAAGTGATGCGCCGACAGTGCGCTGTTTCCAGCTCGGCTGTCACCTTGATGTTCTGTCGTTGTAGTCCTCATGCACATGCTCATCCCCAAGTGTTGAAATTGAGGCCCCTGTGTCCGCATCGCGCTTTGAGCTGCTAGGCTGCTGGCTCGTCCAGACGAACTATGACCACCGCGCTCACATGGTGGCATTAGGTACGACAGACAATCCGATATGCGCATAAAATAGCGGCAACAATTGTCTGCGTGATCACGTCAGTCAGGTTGCCCGTCAAGTAATTCATGACTGACGTTGCGATCAAGCCGATGCCCGTATATACGCCCGTCTTTGTGAGTACGTCTGCATCGTAGTGCCTTGTCAACTTGGCAGGCTTGCTCGTCCGCAGCCTATCGTCGAGATCCACGGTCATGCTGGTGTGTGCCGCCTTGCGTTTGGCCTGCAGAGCGGCGGCAGGCGTGAGGTGACCATTGGTCAGACTGCCAGCCTGTGACAGGCCAGCATCCGCTTGCACGGAAGACGGCGGAGTGGCATCACTCGGCGAAGCTGGCGTCGACGAGAGTGGCAAATGCAGGAATGACGGAATCGCAGATAAGCGTGCGCCGGGCGAGATGTACTTAGTATAGTCTGTCGCAGGCAGATAGTGTCGGCGAGGTAAGACAAGCAGAGGTGCGACAGCTCGAAAGATGGGCGGCAGGATCGTATGCAACACCTTCTTGGTCGCAAGGCGCCACGCAAAAAGGACCGCAAGACCGATGATGATCTTGACAGAGGCGAGCGCTACCAGCGTAAGCGCGTCTATCGGCGTCTCAAGGTTGGCGCCAGGTGTAGAGGTTGCAGAGGTGAAAGGCAGTCTATGTAGCCACCAATAGCCGACGAGTATACCAAGCATAGTGGATAAGAAGGCATTGGCATCTTCGAAGCACGGGCAGTCGTCTACAGGCTCGGGATGGATACTGATCACCATCAGTACGGTCGGTATCGCCACGGCAGGCACTGCAAAGAGGGATCAGTCAGATCGCACGGGGTGACGGAAGCGCGCACCTGTCCATCCCGGCGTGAGCGTCATTGCGTCAAAGGCGTTGCCAAAGATGAAGAAGCCAAGCCAGATGATGACGCCGAGGGCAGCGCCAATCGCGCAATCGAGCGCACTATGCATGCCGCAGTACATTCGCCCAAAGATGACTGAGAATGTGAATATACAGAGCATGCCGATGGTCGAGAGTGCTTGCCACGAGAAGACTGAATGATTATAGAGAACATGTTCGATTAGCGAGAGAGCGATACAGACTGTCGTCGTAGAATGCGTAGAGGGTAGGCCGTACTCCAGGGCATGGTAGGATACGGTCAAGCGAGTGAGCGGAGGTGAGAATGGTCTAGGGATGCAGAAATAGTCCTGTTGAGCGTGATCATCAGCATGAGCGAGTCAAGACAGAGTGAGGGTACCTTGAGATAGGAGGAAAGCCAGCCGCCAATGGCGAGACAGTACAATAACTGTCGGCCCCAATCTGGCTGACCAAACCACCAGAAGAGCGGCAAGACAGCGAGAAAGAATGTGTGAGTGCCCAGTAGGCTGGTCTGGACGAAGTAATGATCTAGCCATTTGGTGCGGTATCGTGTCTGGAGTTCCAAGAGCAGCGGTGTCTCATATTCCACATGTCGAACCATCCATTGGCGACACTTGAAGCGCCAAGGCGACATAAGTCTCTCGTATACCGCTGGATCTTGACATCCGGCGGCGAGCTTGCCACGCTTACGCGAGCGTTTGCCATCATCGAAAGCGGCAGAGGACGTAGCGGCATCTGTGACAGCATAAGGCGAAGGTGCGTCGAGCTCTTCATCTTGCTCTGGCCAGGCAGGCGCTTGTTCTTCCGCCTGAGGCGTTGTGATCGCTTTCCTGACCGAGCTAGACCTTGGCCTGGTGATATCTTGACGAGTGACTGCGAGGGGCTCATCGACGCGAACGCCAGTCCGCATGACATTGGCCATCATGCCTGAAAGCTTGCCTCTTTGCGCAGGCGCGCCTTCCTTGTCTCCAACAGGCTCAGGTAGTCTTGCCCTTTGACCTTTGCTCTGCGATGATTCTGAGGACTCGCTGGCGGAGTTAGGCGAGTCTTGGGCCTGAGGCAGAGGTATTGGCGCGGTCCAGGAGGGCGATTGAGGGTTGCTCGCCAGCACAGCGCCGGGAGGAAGATCGCTTGGTGCTCGCGAGCGTGTCCGCGGGTACTTTGGTCTTGCATCATGTCCATCAAGTGAGTCGAGGGCAGTCGTAAGGCGAAGTTCGGGCACGCTTGAGCTCTTTGACGCGTCGCCGTCGTGCGGCCATTGCTCCGCCTCCGGTGCTTGTACAGGCATTGTCATAAGCAACCTCTGGAGGCTTTGATTCTGATGTGCTCGAGTCTAATGGTAGCTCCGAGCAGCTGGTCTTGAGCATGCCAAAAGCCCCGGAGGTTGTCGGTCTACCAGTCACTTGAGATCCCCGTGAGCATGCGCCAATGCCCAAGCAGGCTGGGCGAGCCCCTCTCCAAAGCACTCTCCAAGGACCTCTGGGGTGCTGACAATGCACCGACAAGATCGTCTTTTGGATTCTCGATTTGTCTCCTGGCTGACTTGCAAACATGCATACGGCGTCAAAGCTTTTCCGGTCGGCGTCAAAACTTTTGCGGTCGAAAGCTTTGACGTGTATCTGACTGGAAGCCCAGAAAATCAAGCGCTGCCGTCTCACACTCTGACCTACTGCGATGGCCCGTGCGGCATCAAAGACCGACAGACCTCTCAAAAAGATGAAGACACGACACGACAAGCCAGGAAAGCGTGCAGCGTCATCAGATGACGGAGATTCACAGGTCGAAGAAGTCTCTGCGACATTTGCAGCCGGCCAGCAGCGGCCGCACTCGCCGTTGCATTCGCTCGCGACCCTCGACGGTGGCATAGAAGACGACGATGACTTTGTGCAAGCCCTCATGGGAAAGCAAAACGCGAAAGCCAGCGCACAAGTTGGCAAAGCACTCAAGATTCCCCAAATTAAGAAAGCACCTGGCCAAGGTTCTTTTCAGAGCATGGGTCCGTCCTACGCTACATATGCGTCGTACGAGCTCAGACATGCTCATCAGGCATTCAGCCGAACTTGCTCAAGACCATCTTGATGCGAGGCTTCCACACGCCAACGCCTATTCAACGCGCTGCCCTGCCGTCTATTCTGGCTACGCCGCCTCGCGATCTCGTCGGTATGGCGCGTACGGGCTCAGGCAAGACACTGGCCTATATGATACCACTGATACAGCGCTTGGGCGGTCAGCACAGCCAGAAATTCGGCGCTCGAGCGTTGGTCATGGTGCCAACACGTGAGCTTGCGCTTCAGGTACTCAAAGTCGGCAAGGATCTATCGAGAGGCCTTAAGGAAGGCGACAGTGAAACGCTCCGATGGGGACTTATTATCGGAGGAGATGGACTGGAAGAGCAATTTGGCTTGATGGCTTCGAACCCGGATGTCATCATCGCCACGCCGGGTCGGTTGCTTCATCTGATCGTCGAGATGGATCTCGATATGAGCTCGGTCGCTTATGCTGTGTTCGACGAGGCTGACCGACTGTTCGAGATGGGTTTTGCGACTCAGCTACACGAAATTCTGCATCGCCTGCCGCCGAGCAGACAGACTTTGCTCTTTTCGGCCACATTGCCCACATCGCTTGTCGAATTTGCGAGGGCAGGACTACAGAACCCTAAACTTGTCAGACTGGACGCGGACACAAAGATCAGCTCCGATCTGCAGATGGCAATGCTGTCCGTCAAACCAACAGAGAAAGAAGCTGCTTTACTATTGCTCTTGCGAGATGTCATCGGTGTACCTCAGTCACTGAATCGACAGAATGTTACAGACATGTCCACAAGGCCAAAGGACAAGACTGCCAACAAGAAGCGTAAATTCGAGACAGGCAAAGGCAAGGTCGAGCTCGCACCGCATCAGACGTTGGTTTTCGTGGCCACAAAGCATCACGTAGAATACATCTCAATGCTTTTGCTTGAAGCCGGATATGCCGTCGCTTCAATCTATGGTTCCATGGACCAGGAAGCCAGGCGAGGTCAGCTGAACAACTTTCGGGCAGGCCGATCGAACGTCCTCGTCGTCACTGATCTGGCTGCTCGAGGTATCGATATTCCCATTCTTGAAAACGTCGTCAATTACGATTTCCCGGCCGGCGCGCGCAACTTTATACATCGTGTTGGACGTACAGCCCGAGCTGGGAGACCTGGCTGGGCATACTCGCTTGTGACAACCACCGAGCTGCCCTTCCTGCTCGATCTGGAGCTCTTCCTCGGTCGTCCTATCGCGGCTTGTCCTCTCAAGCAAACCAGTGCCGAGCGTATCGACTATTCCAGCCAGCTCGTGCTAGGTACATTGCCCCGCGACCGATTGGACCAAGAAGTCGAGCATCTTGCTAGCGTTCTGCTGGGGCCATCTGTCACTTTGCAGACGCTAAAGAACGTTGCTCGCAAGGGCCAGAGAATGTACGAGAAGAGTCAGCCTAAAGCAAGTGCTGCGAGTCACCGGCGAGCAAAGGACATGAGCCAGCTCGGTGACGGTCTCGCAGGGGCGGCAAAAGAAGCAGCGTCTATGCATCCTGTCTTCCGCGTAAGCGATGCCGGCTCTGCGCAGGCTGATGAAGCTGCCAGCCGATCGTCATTGCTCGCTGCACTGACATCTTTCAGACCTGCCGAGACCGTGTTCGAGATTGGCAGCAGAGGGAAGACGCCCGCGGCTCAGCTGATGAGGCAGAGAAGGCAAACTTTGGGCAAATCACTAGCACGACGGGCAGAGCAAGACGCACAGGCCGGCGCGTTGGAGGAAGAAGAGGACGATGCGATTGACGTTGAAGATTCTGCGCCTACTCAGCCCGCAGCAGACGAAGCCATGATCGAGGACGTCTTCGAGACTGCACCTGAGAAGGGAAAGAGCGCGTATGCCGATCCATCCTTCTACATGGGCTATACTCAGGCAGGAGCCGCCGATGAGCGAGGGTTAGTGTTCAGCTTGCAAAGGTTGGCAGGCTCTGACTGCTGGTTTACAGATATTCTATGCGCGAAGAGCCTGGTAATTTTGCAGCCCAGGCAAGAGGTGTGACATTCGACATCGTCGACGATGAGGCAAATCCGATGGCCCCCCAGCGAGCGAGCATGCTCCGATGGGATCGCAAGAATCGGAAGTTTGTAAAAGGAGACGGAACTGGCAGCGACAACCAGAAGCTAGTAAAGACAGAGAGCGGTGTCCGCTTGCCCGCGAGCTTCAAGGCAGGGCATTACGATGATTGGCGAAGGAAGCAGAAGACTTCTCTACCTCGTGTGGGTGATCAGGAGCTGCCTTCTCGCAATATGGGAGGTGCGATGCGCTACCGACACAAAGCTGGGCCTGCTAAGGAGGATTCGAGCGCTAATGACAATGCACGACCGTACAAAGGCAAGAAGCGCTTCGACGTCAAGTCTGACACCAAGACGAAGTCCTCCGGCAACCGACGAGCAGGGCATCAGAATGCGGGCAAGCTGAAGACCCCCGATCAGATCCGCAAAGAAAGGGTGCAGAAGGAGAACCGCAAGCGACGTTCAACTCAGCCGAGCAAGAAGAAGCGCTGAGCTCGTTGTGTCATGTCTTCAATGCATCTACTTCTATCGGATCCCACGTGACAGCTGGATCTTTCGCTGGCTCTACATCCGGCGGTGCGTCGGACATGAGATCTACGCCCACTGATCGTAAAGCTGCGACGGCCCAAGCAGGATACCGAGAATGCGTCACATAGTATCGTCTGAAGAACGTCCGTAGATATTCCGGGTACCGTCCTTTGATGATGGCTTCTCTCGCTTGTAGGAGTAGTCGGCGCTATTGTCCCTCGGATCAGCCGAGTGTTCCCCGCTATGAGAGTGCGGGCTGACCTGGTACATCAAATTGTGAAGCGTGACAACATGCGCGCCGACTGTCTCCTTGCCCCGGCTAATCATCCAAAGCACGGATCGCTTGAGACCTTTGCCAGAGTCACAGGTCGGGCAAGGGCACGACTCGTCAATGACTCGATCGTCGTTTTCGTAGTGTTTCAATCGCAGGTTCATCGGGCCGTCGAAGGTCAACGCGATGCCGAAGCGTGCCGTGCGGGTCGGGAAGACACAGTCGGCCATGTCCATACCCAAGGCGACACAGACGAGCAGATCTTCGCTGTAGCCGACGCCCATGACATAGCGTGGCTTGTCCGCTGGCAATCTTTGCGCGCACTGGGACACTATTTGCCAGAAAATGCCCTTTTCCTCGCCGCCTGCGTTCCCATTATAAGGCTTGAGCAAGGAAACTGTTGCGATGCCAGCGCACCGCTTAGACCGCCGACGGCATAACCAGGCAGGTCATCAGCTCGCTTGAGCATTTCTGTTAGGCAATGGTCTCGTAACTGGGCGTCTAAGCCGCCTTGTACGATTGCAAACAGATTCTGCTTTGCTTCGTGGCCTTTATGCGCTTGAATACACCTATCCAACCATCTGACAGAGCGCAGCATGGCCTCCTCCATGCGCGGTCCAGTCGTAGTCGATGCGATGACATCGTCTAATTGCATCATGATGTCGGCGCCGATGCTGTGCTGTATCCGCATACTCTCTTCTGGCGTGAGAAGCTCCCTTTCGCCGGGCTTGAAAGGATTCTCGAACTCGACACCTTGCTCTGTGGTCGTCTGCAGCTTTGCAAGAGAGACCATCTGAAAACCGCCACTGTCTGTGAGCATGTTGCGCTGCCATCCCTGAAAACGATGCGCGCCGCCAGCACTATCGAGGGTGGCCGTTCCAGGTCGCAAGCCGAGATGGTAGGTATTGTTCAAGAGAAGGGTAATGCCGAGCGATTCGACTTGCTGAGCCGTGAGACCTTTCATGCAGGCTTGGGTTGCTACCGGCATAAAGACTGGCGTGAGCGTAGGCCCGTGGGGCAGATGGAGTATGGCCGCCCTCGCTCGAGTCGTTTGACATTGCGCAACGAGCTCATAGCGCAAGGCCATGCACTACGAGTTGATCGTCGAGCAAGTACAAGCGCGTCACGAAAGCACGATACTCGGGCCGAGTGCGAAAGCATCAAGTCAGCTCAGCGCCAGGCTCACCATGTCGTCTCTGCAAGCAAGCGAAGCAAAGCTCGAGAGCCTGCTCAAGAACCGCCCGCAGCGTGACGAGCTCGTCGACAAGAACATCCTCAAGGGTATGCTTGGCCAAATAAGCCAAGGCCCCGCGCTGACGTGCCACGAGCAGACAGCAGAGTTGCGCCCGCTCTGCAAGCTGCCGAAGCCGAGCTTGCGCGTGCTCAGGCCAAAGACACGCTCGAAGCAAAGCTGCAAGCTCGTCCCATGCCCGAGGAACTTGTTCAAGAAGGCATAGCTCAAAGTGATTCCTTGCGTGGTCCCGCGTTGTTGGCTTGAGCTGACGGAGGCGTGTGCAGAGGGCGAGGTGGGTCCCCGTTGAGCAAGGAGTACATGCAATGTACCGCTTTCATCATCCATGGCCATGTTGTAATCACGTCTCTGCAGTGACGAATGATCTGTCGACCGCGCGGAAATGGCGAAAGAATGTCTCGAACAGTCGAATGAGCGAGCCGATGTCCTTTGAGCCGCCGGTTTCCCTGACAGAGTGCATGCTAAGTTGCGGGCAGCCAATGTCGACTGTTCTGATGCCGAGTCGACTGACCAAAGGTCCGACTGGGACGCGCCGGATGTCAGCTAGCCCGACCCGTCGTGCAACAGGGGAACCAACTTGTAGAGCCACAACCCATATCGTTCCGCACTTCGTACTCCTGCAGAGGTACTGCTGGCTCGGCCAGGGCGGCCACGCGTCGGAGAAGGAAGATTGTCTGCGCAGTCGATGCATACCGCTGATTGGCATTCGTCTTGATGGCAGGGCCCGCATTGATCAGAGGAGCTACAAGCATCATGAGACTCATTCTGAGTGACTATGAGAGATCTGACCATGATTCGCTTGGTGCTTTTGCGGGTAGCCAGGATGGATAGAGTGGCCCATATCGCACGAGAGCAGGTAGGAATTGGCAAGAGTTGTATGCACGACGGTATGGTCCTTGACCTCGCCTTCGACAGCCAGTGTCGATGCGACTCGATGCAGAATACTCTCGAGAAAGTTGGACATTGCGCCGTAGGCGGACACGCTGCCGATCTCTTCATTGTCCCAAAGCGCGATCATCTTGACGTCTTCTTGGCTTGACAAGCTGGACGCGCTCGCCGTGCCCTGTGCCAGACCGGTCAGAGCGGCGAAGGAGCTGAACAGATTGTCGAGGCGGGCAGAGAAGATGTACTCATTCAGGGCGCCACCGACAACAGAGGGCTGTACATCGTAGAGCGACAGATCAAAGTCATGAATCTGTTGCGGCTCGATCGTCTTGCCTGTGATCTCCGAGAGGCTAGTAGCGAGGAGCGACAAGAGCATAGGCTGATGATGCGCTGACAGATCCAGTGGGTTGGTCGGTTGAGCGGCGGTAGCGGTCGTCGGCACAGGCGCGTTGAGCGTCTTGTCTACCATGCCAATGATGGGCACCATCTCTGTCTCAAGGTTATACTTGAAGGTCTCATTTTGAGTGCGCTCGAGATGTATCGCAATGGTAGGGATACGAATGACGGGTCTAGCGATATTGACGAGATGAGAAGTATAGCCAGAATCGCTCTTGCTCGTGCTCGAGTCTGACACGACTACCCGGCCGGCAATGCCGAGATCTCTATCGAGCCAAGTATGGAAGAGACCACCACCGTAGGTCTCGCAGGCGACAGAAGCAAAGCCTGACTTGTCTGCCTTTGAGACGGGGCGGATCTTGAAGCAAGGTGAATCGGTATGACAACCGACGATGGAGAAGCCATTACCGGGCTTGTAAGCTTCTCCGACGGCGAAAGCGACGATGGATGAAGCATTGCGGGTGACATAGTATTTGCCACCACGCTTGACCCGAGGTTCAGATGTCTCCCACGAGTGACCCTCTTTCAGTCGAACGAAACCTGCCGCTTCGAGCATCTTGACGCCTTCTGCGACTGCATGGAAGGGTGTGGGAGCTACATTGACAAAGTCACAGAAGGCGAGTGCTTCTGTAGGTGCTGCGGCGCCCGTCGTCGCTTGTGCCATGGTTGTCTGCCTTGAGGGAGTTGATGTCGTCGATGCTGTAGTCTGCTTCCCTGTCGTTGCCTCGTCGGGGCTGATCGTTCGCATGAAGCGTCGTGGAAGCACAACGCAAGCACTTGGTCGACAGTGGAGGCTGGCTAGCAGCGTGCTACGCCAGACAACTCGCTGCACTTTGTCAATTATCGGACTATCGCTGGTG